GCACAATGAAGTATTCCATTATATTCATATACCACAACACGTTGAGCCATTCCCCAATTGATGGGCATCCCCTCAATTTCCAATTCTTGGCCACCACAAAAAGAACTGCTATAAATATTTTTGTACATGTGGGTCCTTTTCCCATTTTTATGATCTCTTTGGGATACAGACCTAAGTGGTATTGCTGGGTCAAAGGGTATGCACAATTTTGTAGCCCTTTGAGCATAGTTCCAGACTGCTCTCCAGAATGGTTGGATCAGTCCACAAAGCATTAGTGTTCCAATATTTCCACATCTTCTCCAACATTCATCATTTTCCTGTTTTGTCATGTTAGCCAATCTGATGGGTGTGATGTGGTACCTCAGAGTCATTTTGATTTGCATTTCTCTAATCAATAGTGATTTAGAGTATTTTTTTTCACATGACTATAGATAGCTTTAATTTCTTCATCTGAAAACTGCCTATTCATATCCTTTGACCACTTATCAATTGGGGAATGACTTGTAGTCTTATACATTTAACTCAGTTCTCTATATATTTTTAAAATGAGGTCTTTATCAGAGACACTGGCTATAAAAATTGTTTTCCAGCTTTCTGCTTCTCTTCTAATCTTGGTTGCATTGGCTTTGTTTGTGTAAAGACTTTTCAATTTAATGTAATCAAAAATATCATTTTGCATTTCATAATGTTCTCTATCTCTTGTTTGGTCATAAATTCTTCTCTTCTCCATAGATCTGGTAGGTAAACTATTCCTTGCTCTCCCAGAGTACATATAGTATAAGTCTTTATATCTAAATCATGTACCCATTTTGATGTTATTTTGGTATATGGTATAAGATGTTGGTCTATGCCTAGTTTCTGCCATACTCTTTTCCAGTTTTCCCAGCAGTTTTTGTTAAGTAGTGAGTTCTTATCCCAGAAGCTGGAGTCTTTGGGTTTATCAAATAGTAGATTACCATAGTCATTGACTACTGTGTCTTGTGTACCTAACCTATTCCCTGATCCACCACTCTATTTCTTAGCCAGTACCAAGTAATTTTGATGATTGTTGCTTTATAATACAATTTAAGATCTCATATGGCTAGCTCACCTTCCCTTGCATTTCTTTTCATTAATTCCCTTGATATTCTGGACCTTTTATTCTTCCAGATGAATTTTGTTATGGTTTTTTCTAGCTCTATAAAATAATTTTTGGTAGTTTGGTATGGCACTGAATAAGTAAATTAATTTAGGTAGAATTGTCAATTTTATTATATTAACTTGGCCTACCCATGAGCAGCTGATATTTTCCCAATTATTTAGGTCTGAATTTATTTGTGTGAGAAGTGTTTTATAATTGTGTTCATATAGTTCCTGAGTTTGTTTTGGCAGGTAGACTCCCAAATATTTTATAATGTTTACAGTAACTTTAAATGAAATTTCTATTTCTATCTCTTGCTGTTGGGCTTTATTAGTAATATGTAGAAATGCCAATGATTTATGTGGGTTTATTTTATATCCTGCAACTTTGCTAAATTTGTTTATTATTTCAAGTAATTTTTTTACTTTATTCTGTAGGATTCTCTAAGTATACCATCATATCATCTGCAAAGAGTGATAGTTTGTTTCCTCATTCCTTCAATTTCTTTTTCTCCTCTTATTGCTAAAGCTAACATTTCTGGAACAATATTGAATAACAGTGGTGATAATCCTTGTTTCATGGGGGTTTGTTTTTTGCCTTCCTTTGTATCATCAGCTCTTAGCACAGTACCTGGCACATAAAAGGAGCTTAATAATGCTTGTCGACTGAGTGACTGACCTAACCAAGCTCACCTCACTCCCCGTTCAACTCACTCCCTGGATCACTCCACCTCTTGATCTTGCCTGTCTCAAGATCTCTCATGGATTTTCCCTCAAGATCTTCACTCCCTAGGTTGACTTGCTATTTCATGAGAGACCTTAAGCATATTTACTCCCAGCTTAACTCACTGCCCTCCTCCTCAATTTTCATCTTCCCTTTATGTTTTATATTGCCCTATTAACATGCTGAGGGACTTGATCAGGAATTAGCTTTCTCTGCTATTAATTATTTCAGATTGTTATTTCAGTAAGATTTTTGGTGTCAGCCTGTGCAGACAGCTGAAATTACCTTACCTCTTTTGCATAATTCTTATTTGCAGTTGTGAGGAATGGAGAAAAATGTCTAGTCCTCCATCTTGTTTGTAGTACAACCCAAAGTCCATTTCTTGGATGAGTTTTACCACTTTGTCTTTAAGCTACTTATTTGCCTACCAATTTCTTCCTTCAGAGATTTTATTCCCCTTTTTATCTCTTGCTTATATATCCTAAGTATTCATGTCATCCTTGTAGAAAATCCATATTTTCCCCTTTGGGTCTTAAGAGTTGTTATTCCTTTTTAGAATTTTAGGTTTATAATAATTGTTGATACCAGTCAGTATTTTCTTTAATTTACTCATCTCTTCAGATTAAGTTCCTTCAAGGTTACTGTGTGCTAGGGCCAGACTCTGCCCTCTGCTGCCCTTGTGGGTAAGATGATTTTTTACCCTGCTTGGTCTCAACCTGGGTCTCCTGGGTTTTTGCATTGTTTTTGCCCTCTTGGGGTTATGCCCCACTGTAACTCTGAGGTTCAAAGTGTTGCATCTTTAGCTCCTCCCCCCCCTTTTGGGGGCATCTCAGGATAGAGTTTTAGAGACTTCAAAGCCCAAGAGCCCTGGTTGCCCCAGTCTGACTATTGTGGCACCAGAATATTGTCTTCTGCCCACTACTGCTCCCTCAGGCTTCTAAGATACTCACCTTCAGATTTTTTTTTAATTACACCCTCTGGAGCTTCCTGAACATTTATATTCAAATAAGAGGTTGTTGAAGAAAGGATCAAAAATCAATTGGAAAGAAAATAATTTAATCTTAAAGAACTGGTTAGTCAAGAAAGAAACTAAATAATTTAAACTTAAAGAACTAGTCAGTCAAGAAAGAAAATGGCGAGATAACATACCAATAATTTTGGTATGCATGCAAAACAGACCTTAAGAGAAAAACATATCTTTCATCAACAAAGAGAAAAACAACAGCTCAATAAATTTGGCATGAAAAACAACTAGAAATGCAACAAAATTAAAACTCCAATCACATACCAAAATAGAAAAACCAAAGTAGCAACCAACAAAATTGGAAGCAGAAAATCACTTAATTAACAAATAAAACAAGGAACAGGTTTTTTAAAATCTGTTTAAAAAAAAACCTGTTTTTAAAAAAAAGTATGAACCATTAAGAGTCTGATTAGAAAAAAGAAAGGAAAACCAAATTGCCAGTGCAAAACAAAAAGGAGGAATTCACAACAAATGAAGAAGAAATAAAGGTTATTATTAGAAGTTATTTGACTAATTATATGTCATTAAAATTTACACACTAAATGAAATGGATGAATATATACAGGAAAACAAAATTTTCAGATTAACACAATAAGAAATAGACAATTTAAATAATTCAGAACTTAGAAAAATAAATTGAATGGCCATAAGGGGAATAAAAGAAAAAGAAAGAAAACCAGGACCAAATGCATTTACAAGCGACTTCTCTCAAAGAAAAATTATTACATAAACTCACAAAAATAGGAAAAGAAGGTGTCAGAGGTACAGCTCTAATGCCAGTACCCTCTTAATTCAGGTTCCATATTAAGGCAAAATGGGAAGTCATTTTGAAGTTTAACAAAGGAGGTTTACTCTGTCCCAACAAAGCAAGACTATGCATCACAGATACAGGGGCTGTGTTCCCTGGACACAGCCCCCCTTATCTTCATCTGGAAACTCATTTGGTCAGTACGTCATCGGGGTATGGTTGCTTGTGCTCTCAAGGCACTGACCAAGTCTGAGAGACCTAGAATCTACATGGCTGAGACTTTTTATGTCTGTAGATGACCAGGAAACTACATCAAGGAAGCTAGGACCAATCAGGTTTGTCCTATCACATAACCATCCTTTAGTAGTAAGATCCTAAGGATCTTCTAGAGCTGTGGTGTCAAATTTGAATAGAAGAAACAGATCCCTGGGAGTCACATATTGAATTAGAAAACTACAAATTAACATTATGTTGTATTTTTATTTATTTTGTTACACATTTTCTAATTACATTTTGATCTGGAGTTCTGTAGGCCATGAGTTTGACACTTCTATAAAAGACCTTTTACTATTTAAATGCTTACAGGGCTATCACTGGACGGTTATCCCAGCATGGGCAGTACTAAGGGGAAAAGAGAAATAAACAAAACAAACAAAAATGTGGAAAAGGGAAAAAAGCCAAAAATTCTTAGCCTTTCCTCTCTCCTTTAGAAGGACAAATTTCAAGTCTTTTACTGGTCCACGTGGCAGGTGATGCCAAATCTTTGCATTTCATGGTAGGTCTCTGAATGCAAGATGGTAATGATGAACTGAGGTTCATGATACCTCCAATATAGTCTCAGATTTCTTCTGATGTGAGGTGGTGATGACAAACATAACATTTCCAAGAACATTAGTGTTACAGCATGGACTCTTCTTACACAGTCAACAATTCTCTATCAGGCATCAGAGTCATTTGTGTAAAACTGGCCATAAGCCTCTTTCGTAAACTTGATACTCAGGTTTTCCCTGTACCTCTAGCCACTCAGCATTCTCTGGCCCACTTGCCAAAAACTCCCCAAAAGCCATTTTGGGGGAATGATACAAAATCTTTGTCCCCCTTGAGAAGTCTCTGTGAAGTAGCTGTCCCCTTCTTCCCCCACAGCCAAATAAGGACTCTCCCTCACCCTCATCCAGTGACTCAGAATTATCACCAAGTCAACTAAAGGACTCACTTCCTTCCAGGCAAAATAAACCGACCATAGTTATCTAGCTGGAAAAACACTCGCAGGAGAGCCAACTCCCTCTTGGCTGAGAAATTCCCCAGCAAACAACACTTGCAACACATACATAGATCTGAGTCTAATAAACACGGCACTAAATCACTACAATAAAACTGCACCCTCATTATTTCACTTACCATTACTTTATTAACAGTCATGCACATCTCCACTGTGAATTAATTGAAAAAGGTAAACTTAGGCACCGTGGCACACAGGATGACATTAGCGATTTATAGGTCAGTTTTCTAAAATCCCTCAATACCCTGTCTTCAGTCCCTTAGACAGTACTAGAGATTTTGCAAAAAATGGAAAGACTGGCCACCCTCCAAATATTTATATTTCCCAACTAAAGCTGTTCCTATATACATTTTTTTAAACCACAAAACACTTTCCAGGGTTGGGGTAGTAGAGAAAGTTTTCTAGAAGTCAAGATTGCTGTCTTTGTACTCAGATGGGAAGGGCAGAGAAGGAAGGCTAGTCCAGATCATCCTCAGTATTCAATGTTGAAAGGATAGTCTTTGTGATTTTTAGCACTACAAAAAGAGAAAAAAAAAGATCCTGGTATAAACTTAACAAATAAACATTTGAACTGAGTAACATGTATTGTTTCCTCCTGTTGGCATAGAGTTAGTCTTAACCCCACTTAGTGACTTGCACAGGAGTTAATAATGCAGGTGTGGCAGGAGATGGGGAGGAGGGCCTGATGGATAAGACTAGTGATATCACTGATAATAAGGAAACTCCAGGTGAGGAAACCCCCTCTACCCAGCACCTTCTCTGTAATTTAGAGTCTTAGAAAGCTGCTTAGAGCATGGGTTCCCTGCCTGTCTTATAAAACATTTTAAAAATGTAAAAAACATTATTAGTTCATGATGGGGTGCTAATGATGGACCCCTAAAAAGAAAATACCATGTCTTTGGGACCTGAACCCCAAAACTCCTGAACCCAGATCTCTGGTGCTAACCTGTTCCCAGTCAATAATCCTTTTAACTGCCCTTTCACTGGGGCTCTCCCACCACTTAACTCCTTCCATTGTCTGCACGTGGCCCTACCCCAGGCTACTTGCCACCCCTTAATCCCATCCAGATCTTCCCACAGTCTTTCTGTATAAAATATCAATCTTATCCTCATCAAATGTTCAGATTCTTCAAATCTGACCCACTTGTAGGGGTATTACAAACAGTGCAGACTCACTAGGAGTCCACTCTGCTTCTATTGGTTTTACAGCAAACTTGCTACTTGGACTGAAAAAAGGCTTGAGTGAGTGAATTCTTTGGAGGCAGACCTGTGCCCTGTACCCTTGCATTTTGGGGTTCCTAGCACACCTAAACCACAACAGTTCAGGCGCAGAAATAACTCTAATCCCATGTGACAGTTTGCAAAGCATGGTATAGATGGTTACAAAGCATCCCTTGGCATACCTTTTTAGGTTATTTATATACACTCTCACAACCTAAGAAAGATTTGTTGTTATTTTCACTGTTATCATTAATTGGTTCTGTAAGACCACAACATTGATGCTACTGGGAGAACTAGTTCCAGATAAATACTGGTATAAAATTGGCAATGAGCTGAATAATGCCACAGTGGAGCATGGTTATAATTTATTACTGAATATTTTATGAAACTACTTTACTTCTGTGACAATAAAATCTTATGTGGGTTATGCCTCCAATAGTTAAATATTAATACGAATAATTTCACCACTATAAAGCTCTTAAAAAGTTTTTAAAGTACAAAAAGCTTACAAAAAAGGCTAAAAGTGTGGATAGAGCACCGGCCCTGAAGTCAGGAGGACCCGAGTTCAAATTTGGCCTCAGACCAAACACTTGACACTTACTAGCTGTGTGAACCTGGGCAAGTCACTTAACCCCAATTGCCTAAAAAAAAAAAAAAAAAAAAAGGGCTAAAAGTCAGCCTGGCATATGATAGGTAAAGTACTGGTTTAGAGTCAAGAAGACATGTAAGTGCTGCCTCAAGACATTTACTAGTCAAGTGACTCAGGCCAAATTACTTAACTTCTTTAGGCAATTCTTCAATATTAATTTATTTACTAAGTCAGGCACATCACAGGCCTCCCAACCAGGAATAAAGGAGATCACAGATAATTCTTATTGCATGAAATTCAAAAGTTTTGGGATTAACAAAATTAAGGCAAGTAGGATAAGAATGGAAGTGACTAGGAAAAAAAAAACTTTGCAACTATTTCTGATAAGGTTTGGTATCTAAGCTATGCAGATAACCAAAGACAAAAGCTAATACCTGCGGTATAAATGGGGGAAAATATCAGCAAACATTTCCAAAGAGAAGAATTGCAAATTATAATATGAAAGAACAATCCAAATCACTAATAATAAACAAAGTGAAAACTGAGGTTTCACCCCCACAGCTAGCAACCTGGCAAAGATGACAAAATATTGGGAGAATCAATGTTGTAGGGGTTGTAATTAGGGCTGCAAATTGGTCCAACCTTTCTGTAAAGCAATTTGGAATTATTTTTTTTTAAAAACAGACAGTTGCCATCAATTCCCATTTCTATGCATATACCACCAACTCCCAAAGGAGTCAATCACAAAAAGAAAGGCCTTATATATTATCAAAATACATATAGCAGCACTTTTTGTAACAGCAATAAACTGGAAACACAGTAGATGCTCATTCATTGACTGGTAAAATCACATATGCAATGACTACAAAGGTATAAATGGAAAGAACAAGAATAATAGAATAACTGAAGTTAACATTGTGAAATTATAGTGACCACATTTGGTCCCAAAGAACAGATATAAGAAAAGTTTCCTCTTTTCTTTGCGGAAGTGGGGGCTAAAGATAGGGAAGACTGCAATAATATCAGATTTTTTTTCTATACTATTGCCTTTGCTAAACTGTTTTCCCTTTTACAAATTTTTATTATGAGATAACGCTTCAGTGGAAAGTGAGAATAGAAATATTGGAAAATGCAGGTTATACAAGAACAAAAAATGTTAATAATTTTTTCTTTGGTGGAGGAAGTTTCCATGCCAAGAATTCTCCATGCTGATGAAATCAGAGATCATCCTGAAAGCACGTCCCAAACAGGTATATGATGTGCCTAAACACGGTAACATGGAGGGACAATAACTCCACAAGCATCCAGAAAACACAAAATCATTTTGTGATCACAGCTTTGATTTTTATCAATGAATCTTCCTTGGATTCTTTTAAATCAAACTAACTAAATTTACAGGTGAGTTACTTCTCTACCACCTATTAAATTTGTGCAGGCATTTGTTCCTGATGTAAAGTTCCTACCTTAGTCCTCAAGTTCTAGACCAAATGTAGTCATTTGTTCCAGCCCTACCATGATTCCCTGCCTTGATTTTACCATTCTGAAAGGATAAGTGGCCAGAACAACCTTGATCAGGAAGGGTAGTGATATACACCTACCATTCTATCTGATCCTGACTGATCTACAATCAAGGCCACCTACCATTAAAGCACGACTGCTGAATCCTGCCTCAGGATTGGGTCAGAGTGAATCCCATGATTCTTGACTCTAGCTGGAACTGGTAACTGTCCCTGCTGTGACATTTTGTTTCCCCAGAATAGGATATTATGGATTATCAGAAGAGCCTGTTGATGTTATCCCCACCACCACCATCCTCCAAGACAGTTCTAAAACCTCAAAGTAGAACCTGAAGAAATATAGCTTTGGACTTGTTCTAAAACACTCTAACTTTTCAAACGGATGAGGATTCATGGTATTTCATCAGCTATGAACACATTTAACCCCACTCCGTGTCACAGGTACACTGGCAAAGTAAAGTACATTTGCACACCACCTGTTTATACATTTCTGAGATGCATGTTTAGAAAATAGGCAGGAGAGTTTCTGGCAAATCAATGAATTCAATCAATAGTTCATTGTGAGGTACTGAGGTTAAAGGGAAAGAATTTCTGCCCCAATGGAAAAATATGGCACTCTCCACCCGCCTAACTCTACTAGAATAATACAACATGCACACCATGTACAAAGTATAGACATTTGAGGGAGGGAGCATTAATACCTAGGGGGAATTTAGAAAGGCCTTTTGAAGGAGATGGCACCTGAACTGAACCTTGACAGGATCAAGGAGTTCTAAGAAACTGAAGTGAGGAGGGAACGCATGGTAGACATGTGGACAGCTTGTGCAGTGACAAGGAGGCAAGAGAGAGACAGACATTACAGGTGAGGATAACAAAAAGTTCAGAAGTTTAGAAAGATCAGAAAAAAACTGCCCCTCATTGGTTAAAATGCAGCAATGCAAGTAATGCTTTTGTCTTTATAAAATGAAAAACAGGTGGGAAATGCCCCACGTCTGGGCCCTAGTATTTGACTCTGAAAATGGAAATGAATTTGGAGTAAGCAGTAGCATGCAAAATTCCAATGAATTACCTTGCCTGACATCAGGTATTTAGGATCTAAGGTAAAATCTCTCATCTTTGAAGCATTTCAAAGCTGATCCTCAATTTTAATGGCTTATGTTGTAGCAATGAAACCATCAATATCTTCCTCCCTCCTACAAGCAATCATGTCCAATGATTATCATTAACAGAACATACACTGTTTAAAGCAGAAGGAAGGGAAGCTAAACTTACTTAGGAAATTGAGCCAATCGAAGATTCCTATTTAGGCGGAGGAGGGCATCCATGTCTTCTTTTGTGAGTTCAAAGTCAAAAACCTAGAACCATATGATATCATAAAATTTATTGCTGAAAAAAGAACTTAGACATAATCTATGGAGAGTAAGCATGGTATAGTGGATAGACTTCAAGTTAGGAAGCCCAGGTTGGAATCTTACCTCAAACACTAGCTGTGTAACCTTAGGCAAGTCATTCTCTGAGCTTCAGGATCCTCATCTATTTAATGGGGAAAATAAGTTGTCTTGCCACTGGACTTCTATGACTCTGGAAGCAAAAGTGAAGCTGATGACTTTGTGCCACTCTGCCTCACTTAAATCCAATTTATACTTAAGGTAAGACATCACCCTTGATGTTAAAGGACACTCTTCAAATGAATGACAGTATATTCCTCAAAGACTTGTTATAAAGATACAATGAAATCATGGATGTAAAGGATTTTGTAAAAACGTAAAGTATGAAAGTAATTATCATCATTAAAGTCACCACCACCACATGGTCCAGACTCGTCATTTTGAAAATGAGGTGAGGCATAGAGACACTAAGTGACAAAGGTAAGTAAGGTGGTCAGCATCAGAGCTAAGACTTGAACCCAATTCTTTTGACTCCAAATCTGGGGCTTTTTGACTACACGACATATTGCTAAAAGAGGATTTAAAACCAGGAAATGGAAAACTGGTTACAAATGTTTATGAGGTTAGAATGTAATGAATGCAAACTAATGATAGCAGTTTAAAGTAAAATAATCCAAGAAACTAGTCCATCACAATCTGATGACTCCTCTCAGAACCAACCCCAAAATATTACATATCTAAATACTTAGAAACTTACTTTAATCCAGTTTTATTGCTGTGTAAACTTTCATGGGGAAAAAAAAAAACTATCTGCTTTTAGTTGTAGCAGTTTGTGACAACTTTAGGACAACAATGTGAGTGCTGACCTGACCTGACCTGACCTAACATTCTATTTCATACAGGATAGAAAAATATTCCACTGCCTTTCGCAACCAATGTCACATTGATGGCTGATATCCAAACACTGATCACAAGTAGGGAGTAGTTTCCCCAAAGTCACCATTATATAACCAGTGTCCTAAGAGAATTTTAATATAGCTGCTATTTTGCCTGAAACAGTAATAGGCTGGAGCTTACAGAATTTAGCAGAGATGTGAAACTTTGTCTCAGCTTAGTGATAGAAGGGTTTCTGGTTCAGCTTTAGAATACCTATTTAATTAAGCTCAGATATCAATTACAGCTTTGACTCTGGTCAGCTCCTGCTCTGTTTTCAAAATTCCAGCTTGAGACAGTAGCTTTAGCTCCAGTATTTGCTGATCGGTTTGTTAATTTCCCTGATGTGTATCTTCCCCTTCTTCTATCTATTCTTTGATGTATAAATTTTTACCTTCCCTCTATAAAATTCCTACTATATCCATCCTGATTTGTCCTACGTAAGTAACACTTACAGAAATGTTACTCATTTCTAAATTGGTTTTTGTGTAATATGAGACTCTGCTCTGAGCATATAACAAACGAATTATTAAAATGGCTCTGCATGTTGACAAATACGATTGACAGCAGTACTTATCATTGAATCCTTGGATATTTTTATATTCCCAGTATTTGGATACAATTTCCCATTAAAATCTGAAGATATCAAAAATGCAAATAAAAGTCTACAAAGTGTAGACTGAGAAATTCTGTCTCCAGGACTTGGAGTCTCAGCCAGTGTCACAAAGGTCCCAGGCTGCATTCTGCCTGTTGGAGTGCTTACAGAGTATCCTAACTACTCTAAGAGCTGGAATATTTTACAATGATCACGTTACCTTATGAGTCCCTATAATGTTCTCTGAATTGGGAGAAGGGAATGATGGTGGTAGGTTAGTGGAAAGTGATAGATATGAGAGGAAAAAAAGCATCAATAACACATTTTTCAATGCCCAGAAGAAAAGAAAATGGTAAACAGGGTGGTTTTGTTACTATGTTGTTAAAATTTGTATACTTGTTTAGAAGCAAAATATGCATAAAGTTCAATTTCTTCTTTTTGTTGTTGTTTAGTCATTTCCCACTCTTTGTGACTTCATTTGGGGTTTTCTTGGCAAAGATACTGGAGTGGTTTGCCACTTCCTTCTCCAGCTCATTTTACAGATGAGAAAACTGAGGTAGGCAGGGTTAAGTGACCTGCCCAGGGTCACACAGGTACTAAGTGTCTGAGTCCAGATTTGAACTCAGGAAGATGAAGTCTTCTGACTCCAAGCCTGTCACCCTATCCACTGCACTACCTAGCTGCCTCCTTATACCTACCCCCACCTCCCTCCCTCCCTCTCTCTCTCTTTCTCTCTCTCTCTTTTTCTTTCTCTCTCTCATTTGTTGATGATTATTTTAAAAAAGAAAATTAAAAAGGGAAAAGGGAACAGGGAAGGAAACAAGCATTTGTATGCCACCTACTATGTGCCAGGCATAGTGATAAACACTTCGTAAATTTCATCATATGGTCTTTACACTAGCTTTGACTTGGCCTAGAAGATGGGGTTGGCATCTCCTAGAAGTTGTTAAATCCTGTTTATCTGCCTTCCTTGGGCAAAAGAGTTAGCAGCCTGGGGGAAAAAAAAGCTGCTCCCCCTCAAAAATCTCTCTCCCATTTTGGGAGTGGGGGTGTGGGTGGGGGTGGGGAAGGGAAGGCATCCAGACCTATGCTTCCACTGATTTAGGGAGCTCCTGGACAGGGAGTTCTTCTACCCATGCTGGTCAGCCAGCTGTTCTGCAGTTTATAGTCTCAGAGCTTCTGAAGTTAAGTGACTTGCCCATGGTCACAGGCACACATGTAGTATGTGTCAAAGGAACTGAACCCAGGCCTTTCTGACAACAATTTGGCACTCTAGACACTTAAGCCTGGCTAATTTCTGTCTTTCATATACAGTCTATCAATTAGATATTCAATATTAGATATTTGGGTTAAGAAATTATTTTTTTCAATCCAATAACCCATTGGTTCTGTTAAACTTGTCAGTTGTTCACACTCTTATTTTAACCATGTGGTGTCTCAATCCTTAATACCTAGTTACTAAACAGTTCTGCCAGCCCGAAAGAAAGAGAGTTTTGAATGGAGGATAAGAGGGAGTAATTTAATACAGTAGGCCTGAAAGGAGTTCAGCAGGAAGGGATTTTGAATACATTGTTGAAGGGAGGTATGAATGTGCCAGAAACAAAGGTCTGAGACCAAAGAAAGGGCACCAACAACTCAGTGAAGACAATGCCAAACCCTGGCCTAAGGAGGTAAACTCACATGTTCGGCTAGAGCTACTCAACGTTTTACTGTATCTAATGAGTATCTGCAGCTTCCCTGATATAAGCAACTCTACCTGACTTAGCTGCCCCAGCACTCAAACCATTTCTCCTATTTCTCTTACATCTTGGCCTCGATCACCCCAAATTTCTTATAATGTAACAAAGACTCCATCACAGGATCACAGACTGAGTTGGAAGGGATCTGGGAGATCTACTTCAAACTTTTCTTTTTCACAGGTGAAGAATGTGCCCTGGAGGAGTGAAGTGACTTATTTAAGGTAATACAGGCAGTAAGTAGCAGAGCCAGGATTTGAACTCAGCTCTTCTGACTACAAATCTGTCCTGTCCACTCCATCCTCCTGTCTCTAGTTCCCTGGTCCTGAAGAAATCTAAGGAGATTGCAGAAGGACAACTCCCTTCGAACCTTTTGACCTGATGATGGGTGAATTTTTGGCCCAGTCATCAACCAGCCAGCAATACTTACCTGGAAGTTTTCTTTTATTCGACTTGGTGTGACAGACTTGGGGATTACCACCACATTTCTCTGTATATGAAATCGGATCAAAACCTATGGGAAAAGCCCCACATATGGAGATTGTGTGAGTCAGCTAATTACAGTTTTTTCCCAACAAAGAGTCTAATTGTGCTTCCTTTAATACCTCTCCACCCCCAAAATAATCATTCAAATAGGTAGTTTTTATTATATTATCACCAAAGTCTGAAATTAATCAACCAGATTCTGCCACCATGTTACATAGGGAAGGTTAGTGAGACTCAGCACTCTAGTAATTATGACAGTACAACAAAATAAATTTCAATAATAGATTCTGCCTTCCAATACATTCTTGTTGATGATATTAAATGCTGTAAGGGTTTAGCTATTAAATACTATAGGATTTAGTTTGCTGGGGAATGCTACAAATATCTTATTTCAGTTTTTAGGGAAGGGGTTAAACAAGGAAGTATTCATGGAATTGGCAACACTATAGATTTTGTGAATCATTGAACATTTATGTGGGCCATCATCATCATCATCATCATCATCATCATCATCAGCATTGCTACAATCAAATTTGTTTAATACCTTCCTCATTTCCTAAGGAAATGAATACTCATCTTTTGGAGAAGTTAATATCTAGCCGCAGGAACTTGCAGTATGTAGAAAGGACCTAGGATAACCGACTACAGGGGTAGGTTATTGCATGTTTCTCTCTTCTTAAGGCTGGTTTCAGGCTCAGGGCCAAAGAGTCTTTCAAGCTCTCTCTATATAACCTGGCTCCAAACTGCCTTTCTAACTTCTTCTCATACTACTTACCGTCTTCCACATACTTCATTCTCTAGTCAAATTTGGGTTTTTTTGGTTTTTGTTTTGTTTTTTTTTTTTTGTTTTTTGGCAAGGCATTTGGGGTTAAGTGACTTGCCCAGGGTCACACAGCTAGTAAGTATCAAGTGTCTGAGGCCAGATTTGAACTCGGGTCCTCCTGACTCCAGAGCCAGTGCTCCATCCACTACGCCACCTAGCTGCCCCCTCTAGTCAAATTTGACTAGTTACCAACACATGAAAACATCTCATGCTTTCCCTCCTTTGTGCTTTTATTCACATCATTTCCTACACCTAGAAGGCCACTACTGTAAATATGATTCACTCTTCAAGATATAGCACAAGTAGTCCCATTTGGATCATTGGGGGCAGGGTACAGAGGGCAATCTATGGAAGAAAGGGACTCTGTATCTGTGAGCCCTTTTGGCAACATCTAGGGCAGGGCCAAATGAACCATTCTATTTTGTAGTATTTAATATCATAAAATATCAGGTCCCCAAAAAGGTGAAAGATATTTCTCCTCTCATTATACCAGCTCCCTTTACAACAATCCTGTGTTACCTGTAAGGATGGCAAATGGCACCTGGCCACTCAGAGTGGACGACAGGGAGCTGAACAAAGTCGTCATGCCTGTCTCTACAGCCTGTCTCCTGATTTTGTCAGTGCAACAGAAAGCTGAATGGTATGGGGCTGTCAATCTTGCCAATGCTTTTTTTCTCTATTCCTGTGGCTGAAATTTGTCAGGAACCATTTGTTTTCATCTAGGAAGGAGTCTAATATACCTTTATTGTCCTCTTCAAGGGCTACCTGAACTTTCCTTCATATTATTATTCACATTATGCTTGACAGACACCTGAAAGATGACTCCCTTCCTGTAGTGTGCACTAATTAGTGTACACTAATGTACACCACTACATTATTGCATAATGTTAACAGGGCCAGATGAGGTCTAGATCAGATGGTGACCTATATATGAAGGACAAAGATAAGAATGAACTTTAAGAAAATTCAGGGTCCACTCAGTCAAGTTTTGGGGAACACAGTGGGTAAAGAAAACCCAGAGGATTCCAGGCACTATTCAGAATAAGTTATTACCCTGGATTCCCCACAGTCTAAGAAGGAAGCCCAGAGACTTATTGGACCCTGGTTTTAAGAGAACCCACGTTCTCCACCTGGTTATCCTGATGACTCCCAATTATTGATTCATCTGCAAGTATACCTCTTTCAAATAGGATCCATAATAAGCCTGAAATATCTAAAGTAACCTAACAGTCTCTCTCCTTGAGCTCTCAGGACCTTGAAAGGCCCATAACTCTAAAGACTTGCCATCATTCACTACATGGATGAGACTGAGACTTGAGACATGGTCTTTCAGAAGGGGGAGTTCTGGCTTTTATTCTCCTCCACATTTTTTTTTTGTTTCTTTTCCCTTTTCCCCCTTAGTAATGCCTATGCTAGAAGGACTATCTAGTAAAAGCCCTATACGTATTTAAATGATAGAAGGTCCTCTGGAAGATCCTTAAGACCTTACAACTAATGGATAGTATGTGATATTTCCCTAATACAACTTCTTTCCATTTACAACATGGGAAGGTTTTACCTAAAAGAAAACAAAGCTACCTCCAGGGTTTAACTAGTTTTACTTTCCTTAATGTAGCTTCATTTCTCCCCACCTCTCTTCCTTCAGTCAACATTGGGCAGGTCCAAGACAAAGCTGACCCAGGACCTAATTGGCCCCAGCTTCCTGATCATGTACAAGAATAAAAAGTCCCAGTTCTCAGATATGGTGTGCATTCAAGACTACACAAGTCACTCTGATCACCTGTCAATCATACACATTTCCAATAGGCAGACAAGGGGAACCTTGTCCAGAGCAGTTACGTATCACCGTATACTTGTTGCACATTCTTGATGTTTTAGGACAAAGTAAACTTCCTTTCCTAAATGTTCAGTAACTCTTTGTTACTTTGATCCCAATTGAACCTGAACTAAAAAAGTGCTGATATTAGAGCTATACTTCCAACACATATATATATGTCTTATTTCTTCTAACATATTCTAAGATCCCTGAAAGCAGAGAGGGACTGGGTCTTATTTATCTTTGGCTCTCCCATAGAGTCTAGTAGAATGTATTTAAATGGAAGGCGCCTTTGCTAAGTTTGTTGAATATCAGTCAGCAAATATGGGGGAACTTTCCGTCCTGTACCTGAGCTTCAGATTTCTTGTATTTTTCGGCAATCTTCTTAATAATGGGTTCATTGAAGACATCACTAGAGAGGGGGAACAGAGTTAAACAGAAGACTGAATGGCCACCGCTTGTCTCCCATCATCATCATTCCTCTGAACTCCTGCAGTAGCAGACCTTTCCATAGGCCTCCCTTCTCCGATCTATCCAAATGGCTGCCAACTCAATTTTATTAAAACAAGGGCCCGACGTTGTCACTCCCCCACACAAAAAGCTTCAGTGGCCATCTCAGGATATACACTCCTTGTGTCTTATATTTAAAGACTTCATAATCTGGCTCCTGCCTTTCTAAGCTTACTGTTCTTTACCCTACTTCACACACTGTACATTCTCATCACACTGTACTAGTCCTATGTACACAATATCCTACCTCCCACCTTTTTGCTTTTGTACAGATTATCCTCCAAATCTGGTCTGCACTCTTCACCTCCACCCCGCGTAATCCCTAGCTCCTTTCAAAGCTCAGCTCATGTGTCACCTGCTACACAAGGCCACTCTTGAGCTCCCTGATTTCTAGTGCCCCACCCCTGTGGAAATTACTTCACATATAATTTGTATTTTCTCATGTGTGTACATGTTATTTCCCTCAACAGACTGAAAGCTCCCTGATAGCAGAAAAGAACTAACAAAGCAGGTTTACCTGGTGCCCCCAAGTGGACGATAGGCTGTCACAGAAATACCTTTTGAATGGCAATAGTTGATCAGCTTCTCCTGAGTGAGGAATGGGTGGCTCTCTATCTAGAATCAGATTCACAACTTATGTCAAAAAGAAGTCACAAAGATAATATTCTTGGTTGGGTCTGATTATTTTAAAGAATTATATCTTACTTTTATTCATACCTTTTGTTTTTAACATTGTATTTATTTCTGAATATATACCTCCCCCCAATCTCTTGCAAAAGGTTTCAAAAGAAAGTGGGAAAAAAGTGGTTAAAAAAACTAACCAATGCATTGACTACGTCTGATAGTAAATATAATACGTCACACCCTTAATCTCATAATTACTTCTGCAATAAAAAGAGGCAGGTCCATCTTCTCACCTCCTCTTTGAGACCAAGTTTTGTCAAAATAATTAAAGAGTATCAAATTTAATTTTTTTTCTTTCTGTTTACATTGTTGCAATTCTATATATCATTTTCTTGGTTCTACTTACTTCATTCTGTATCAGTATATGTCTTACAAATATCTCCCAATCTGTTATATTTATATTTATCATTTCTTACAGTGTAATATTCTTTTTTTTTTTTTGGTAAGGCAATTGGGTTAAGTGACTTGCTCAGGGTCACACAGCTAGTAAGTATCAAGTGTCTGGTCTGAGACAGGAGTTGAACTCAGATCCACCTGACTCCAAGGCCAGAGCTCTATCCACTGCGCCACCTAGCTGCCCCATGATGTAATATTGTTAGAGTGAAATAATACGCCATTACATTCATGCATCAGATTTGTTTAGCCATTCCCCCAATTAATGTTCATCTGCTATATTCTCAACTTCTTTGATAACACATAAAGTGCTACTATGAATACTTTGGTGTATACTGAACCCATTCTGCCATCTCCTTGGTATAGATGCCTAGTGATGGGATCTCTGGGTCAAAGCATGTAGACATTTTCACCCCCCCCTTTTTTTTGCATAATTCCAAATTACTTTCCAGAAAGGTTGGACCAGTTCACAACTCCACTAACAGTATATTAGTTTGCCTTTCTTTCTGAAGTTTTCTCTAGCATTGCCTATTTTTACCTTTTGATGATGCTGCCAGGTTAGCTAGGATTCTGGACCTACCTAAGGATACAACCAGTCAGGCTCTGATCCCTGGAGCCTGACAACGTGGGACCAGCACAAACCATCTTCTACCTTCTAACTAGGTTTCCAGACTTGCCCAAAGGCCCAATAGAGTCATGCTCTGCTTCTAGCATCATGAGACCAGGCAGGACAAACCATTTCCAGCCTCCTCAATAAACTTCCAAATAGGACACATCACCTGCCACCTTCTTACTTGCTTTCTTACAAATTGAGGGCCATAACAACACCAAGATTACTACAAATTGTACTTCCTGGCCAAAAAAACACTACTTCCTTCTTATGACTACCTCAAAGTGGGCTTCCAGACACCTCTGCAGACAAAGCGACAGCAGGTCTGGCAGTTGAGAACTGTGCCACAACCTTAGAGATCAACCTAGAATCTTCTTGCCTTTATTAGCATACCTCACTATTTCTCTGCCTGGTTGTTGTTCAGTTGGTTTCAATCATGTCTGACTCTGTATGACCCCCGTTGAGGTTTTCTTGGCAAGGTTTACTCTGCCTGGACTCATTTCCCAAATGGCAGATGCTGAACTCCTGACTACCAAAAAACAAAACCTTCTCAATGGCTCTAGCTATCTTCTCCCTCTTTCCTATTCACCATAATCCAGCCCCCTACAAAGTCTGACTCCAGATCCATCATCCCTTTCCATTGTAGACTCCAAAATGCCTACCGCAGAATTAACAAACTTCTCATCTCATATCACTTCCTTTCTGCTTCTCTCTTATGATACTCACTGAGACCTGGCTCCTTCCTGATGAAACTGCATATCTGGCCAACCTTTCCAGTACTTGGCTGCATTTTTTCATACTCCATCATAGTCATGGTAGAAGGAGTCAGAATATTCCTTGTTCCCTATAGCCACTTCCACTCATAACCCTCCCTCAGAAACCACTACTTTGAAGTTTGTGCAACTCACGTTTATGACCAGTTCTGATTGCTAGGACTGGTACCTCACTGCTAGTATCTACCAGCAACCAGGACAATCTCCCTCCTTTCTCAATGTGTTCAGTGCCTGGCTCACAGTCTTCCTTGCTACCTCAATTCCTGCCTTCATTCCAGGGGACTTGAAGAAAATATTGATGTTCCTTTAAATAACCTGACTTTCCGGGTCTTCAGTCTACTCAACACCTATGACCTACTCCTCCACTCACTCTACCTCAACTACACATACAAAGGGATGGTCATACCCAGTGTTCCACTTCCATGTTAAAGAACTCTGAATTTCCTTTATCAGGTCATAATCTTTTCTCTTTCTGTCTTCCCTATGTCTTATTCCTAAAACTATTCATCCTCACCATAATTTTTAATCCTTCCATCCCTCAGTACCATTCCAAGCCATCATTCCTGCTCTAGCTACACTTTCTCTCCTTCCCAATCTTGACCCCATGTTGAAGCAGTTATTCTTGAATCCCTTGCCCCTTGTCCTATTTCCAATCATGTCCTACAAAACTCTCACCCTGTATACTCTCATCTTCTACTTCAGTTTTTCTCATATGTTACTGAATTAAACTGAAGGAAATCAATTTATAGGCTGGGTCCACTACAAATTTGTGCTAGCTAATCTCTACTTGGATCTCACTGCAGCAAAACCATCCTATTCCTCTTCTTTAATTGATTCCCTATCCCTCTTACCACTCTAGTCTCTAATGATTTGACTAGTCTCTGGACTAGTTTAGTCTCATCTTAAGAAGCCTGTGACCAGTCTCTCTACATATATCCTTTACTTCATCCCCTCCTATCTTCTCCAGATTACCCACACACTCATCCCCTCTCTAATCATCAATCTTTCCCTATCTACTGGTACCTGCCCAAACACCTCCCTATTCATTAAAAAAAAACAACTCATTGGATCTTACCATGCCTGTTCACTATTGTCGTATAACTCATCTTTTCTCAGCAAAATTGCTTGAAAAAGTCATTGACAATCAATACTTGCACATTGTTTCACTACTAAACCCTCTGCAGTCTGGCTTCTGACTTCATCATTCAACTGAAACTGTTCTCTCCCAAGTTACCAATGATCTATTAATTGCTAAATCCAACAGTGTCTTCTCAGTCCTCATCCTTCTTGATCCCTCTGCAATCTTTGCCACTGTGCATCACTCTCCTCTCCTGGATTCATTTCTCCACTCAGTGTCTTCAGGACACTGCTCTCTCCTGCTTCTCTTTCTATCTGCCTGATTATGCCTTCTCAGTCTCTTCTGAATTTTCATCCATGCTACACCCACTAACTGTGCCTTCACCCACCCCAGGCCCTATTCTTTTCTTTCCCCAATTTTTCACATGGCGACTTTACCAGCTCCCATGGATTCAATTATTATTTCTAAGCAGATAGTATCTAGATCTATTTTTTTCAGCCCTAGTCTCTCTCCTGAACTATAATCCCACATCACTTCTTACCCATTGGACTTCTGAATGGAATATCCAAAAGGTATCTCAAACTCAATACGTCTAAAACAAAAGACCCTCCTAAAGCCATCCCTCTTCTGAACTTTTTCCATTCTTCTAGTCACCCAGGTTAGCAACTTCAGTATCATCCTTGACTCTCATTTTCCCTTACCCTACATATACGTCATGTGAATTTAGGGCAGAGTTTGGGCAGATGGTATGTAGCAACACTAGGATTAATAACCACTAGGTTTATTAATACTCATGGCCAGGCCCAGCATAAGAGTGTATGAAGAGATGAACAGAATTTAGGCAGGGATAGAATTGTATGCAGCCTCCTTCATGAACTATTCCATGAGCTATGGTAGTCTCACAGAAATATGTATTGCAGCTCACTACCAAACAACCAGAGAATTTCTGTTCCATGGGAATATTATATAGCAGGAGGAAGTCTCAGCTGACTTCAGGTAAGCTAACCTTGGAAACAGCCTCTTGTCTACCTGCCTGTTAGTGTAACCAACAGCTTATCATGGGCAACTGGAGAAGGTTAATTCTGGTGGAGGATTAAAACTAAAAAGACATTTTCATCTATTGGCAAATTCTCTAACTCTTTTACAAACTCACCTGGCTGTTTGTTGGCTTGTATCGTAAATCAGGCTTGTTCAAAAGTCTCTCAATTTGTTTGTGATTGAAATTTGAAACCCCTATAGCTTTCACCAGTCCCTCACTCAACAGATCCTCCATGGCCTACAGGAAAACAGAGAGTACATTTATCATAAAGAAGGAAGGAAGGAAGGAAAGAAGGAAAGAAGGGAGGGAAGATTAATTAAGTGCTTACTATGTATCAAGCACTGTACTAAGCACTTTACAAATATTATCTCATTTGATCCCCATATCAACTTCAGGAAGTAGATGCTAAATCCATAACCTTATGTGGTTGCCTCTGTGCCCCATTCTCCCTCTCAGGAACAACACTCACCAGAGCAGACCTCTAAAACCCATGCTTCTCTGGGTAAAGGAGGAGTAGTCAATCCACTGATTTTGGATAGTTTTGCATGGGGCAGAGCTCTATAACCTGCTATATATCATGACCCCTTCCCATGCTTCATATCTGTCCACCCCAGACATCTTGCCATCTGCGCTGGGGCAGGGCCATTACTCCTCTTCCCACTCCTCACTCCCTCCTGAGTTTAAGACCTAGATCTTCCATTGCATGGCATGGACAAATCACTTTACCTCTCCAGGCTTCAATTTGCCCATCTGTAAATAAGGGACTTAAATTATACCATTATTAAGATTCTTTGGAGATATAATGTTTTATAAGTCTATAGAAAAGGCTTGGCACATTGTGTAAAGCAGCCATTCTCTAATTGTGGCACACAGACAATTAGGATTTCCCAAGACCTTTCTTAGGAGATCCAAGAAGTCAAAACTATTTTCAAAAAAATACTAAGATGTTATTTGCCATTTCAAGTATTTCTCACATTTCCAACTTCATATTTTTGTGAAGTTGGATTTTCTTCATATATTTCCAACCAAAACAATAACGCAACAGATTGAATGCAGAAGCAAGTATGAGCATACAAAAATATGTAAAATAAGGTCATCCTTTTTATAATTTTTTGTTTTAAAATATAGTTATTTTTCATAAAAATATGCTTTTTAAGATGTTAATAACTTTATTCTTATTATTTTTAATGTATTAACAAATAAATTTTAATTTCTAATATGGCAAATATTGATACATATAACTCACTAAATGAAAGCTCTTCAGGTCCTCAATAACTTTAGAATGTGTAAGGGTCTTAAGATCAAAAAGTGTGAGAACTATTGGTCTAAAAGAACACTAAAAACCAAGAAATCTTGGTTAATTAATCACCTTCTAGTTTACCCTTCCTTGAAGCGATGGCCCACAACAGTTGGGGGGTTGCGGCATGGAGGAAGCAGGGGACAGTTGGGAGAAGGTGTTACTATCCCTAAAGCTAATGCCATAGATTGGAGGAGAATTCCGTCTCCTTCCTAATTAGCAGCATATAGGGATATTCCCACGATTCTGGATTTTTTCAGCTTTATAATTCACACGGCAAAGTTCATATTTCAAGCTGACCATTCCAGTTTGTGGGAAGGCAGCCACTCTTGGTGAAGACCCTACAACTTCCAAGACCAAAGACAGGATGTAAGTAGTCTTCATCAGTGAGAGTCTGGGCTTACCTCCCATGTGTCCAAGTAGTCTGTTTCACTGGCAATAATCATCCCATTCTGGTCTGTGGGCAAGTCATCATCTCCTGCCTGTAAAGAGAAGGAAATTAGTTTAATACAGCTCTGTTTTTGTTGTTCTTATCCTGTAGAACAGGAGTTCTCTCTCCTCCACTTCCCACATCAAATCAGCTGACAAGGCCCATAAAGTTTGCCTTTATAATCTCAGCTCCATCAATACCTTTCTTTCTCTTCCTACAGTCAACACTGTAGTTAAGAATTTTGTTACTTCATACTTCTTAGTTGATTTCCTTTCCTCTGGCTCCTTGCCTTCCAATCTATCATTTTTTTAAAATTACCGATATTTTGTTTCATACGTCAATATAACTTCTGAATAACTCCCCCAATAAAATCCTCTCTTAGCACAAAGAACACCAGTCAAGCAGAATAAACCGTCACAAAAGCTGCATCAGATAATATATACAACATTCTTTGCCTGTGGTCCAAAGGCAGGAAGAGTATATCGTTATCCATCCTCTACAGCCAAGATCTTCTGGTCAATCCATTGGCAAAATAATTTTTTCTTATGCAAAGAGGCTCATCATCAGATTGGCTCTAGAGTGAGAAATTTATTTGTTATGAGACCTCTGCAAGAAGGTGATCTACATCTGTGGAGGAACAACCACACTGACAAATTTACACCTCTTTGATGTATTGGTGTATGCATAAATCAGCTTATCACTCTTTGCACAATTTTTTTAGATGCCTTATTTCCTACAAAATAAATGATCAAATTCCTTGGCTTGCTATTCAAGGCCCTCCACAAGCTCAAAATGTCAGAGTTAGAAAAAACCTCAGAGTCCATTCCTCCCAACCTCTTTCTGAACAAGAAACTCCTCTTCAATATCCCCAAGTGGTTATCCAACCTTCACTTGAAGACCTCCAATGAGGAGAAATACTTTATCTCCTTAGACAGTCATCCCTTTTTTGCATAATTCCAATTGTTAGGAAGTTTTTTCCTTATAGCAATCCAAAATGTTTCTTTCTACAGCTTTCATACATTTCTTCTAGTTGTCCCATAGAGTCAATAGAACAAGCTGATGAGGTCAACATGTGAGAACAGTACAGATAAAGAAAAAACGAGGACCAAACACAGAGCCTTGGCATGACTCATAACTAGGGGATATGATACAGATGATGATGTAACAAAGGAAACTGAGAAGTGGTCAGAAAGATAGAAGGCAAACAAGGAGACCCCTGTATCATGAAAACCCAGCAAAGAGATAGCTTGGTTGTGAAGGGGAGTAGGATATTGGGCAAAAGTTAGAGGTTATGGCAGGATCTAGTCGAGGTTTTTTAAAGATGATGAGACCTGGACATGTTTGTAGGCAACAAGGAGGAAACCAGTAAGTAGGGAGAGATTAAAGATGAGAGTGATAGGGGATGAGTGAGAAGGAAATATGCTGAGAAGATGAGAGGAAGGGCAAGGTTGGAATTAAAGGCACCTGCAGAACAGATGGCTTTGTTGAGGAGAAAAGTCATCTTCAACTTCAGAGACTGGAGTAAAGGCTGAAAGAATAAGAGATGATGTCAAGGGGTATGAGGCAAGGCCCTCAACTAAGATCATGGGGGAAGGGGAAAATGTAACTAGTTAGAGGAGAGAAGAAAAGGTCTGGAATAACCTCAGTGAGAAATGGGAAAAAGAATAAATTAGAGAGGACTGAAAAATCCGTTGCACAATTAAGGCTTTCAGTCATATCTGACTCTTTGTGAGCCCATTTGGGGTTTTCTTGGCAAAGATATTGAAGTGATTTTGACATTTCCTTCTCTAACTGAAGCAAAGAGGTTAAGTTCAGATAACATAAATTTGTAATGACCCACTCAACTCAGTAGTATTGTGTTACTTCCTTCAGACTTGTTCAACAGCAAGTAGGAGCAGGGGATGAGGATGGACATAAAATAAATTGGGTTTGGTAAGGCACAAGAGGCAACATGAATGTTGGAGGTCAAAGGTTTTACTATTGATTCATTTCTTGGCTTTTGCCTGTGAATTTGTGGGAATCTCTATACTCTTCTTCCTGAATTATAGCTAATTTCTGTGCTTGGAAGATAGATATGTAAATGGTTTTAGTCGTCCTTTTCTATGAGAAGTCCTTTTGATTAAAGGTGTAAGATTACAAGCAGATGAATTCTTTCTACCCCTTATTAGGTGGATGGCCAAGAGCCCATCATTCCCATATTTCTTTTTTTTTTTCTTTTTGTGAGGCAATTGGGTTTAAGTGACTTGCCCAGAGTCACACAGCTAGGAAGTATTATGTGTCTGAGGCCGGATTTGAACTCAGGTCCTCCTGACTCCAGGGCTGGTGCTCTATCCACTGCACCACCTAGCTGCCCCCATCATTCCCATATTTCAAGCCAGAAATCTAAATCCTGTTCTCAGGAACCAATCTTCTCATTTAGCTGTTCACTTCCCATAACTGTCTCTCTTATACAGTCCTTATCTTCTCCCAGCAGCAATGATTAAAGCATAATTTATGGCCTTAAGAGCCATAAATTTTCTTGTCCAATGCCTCATAATCCTTACCTGACTCTGATGTTTATTATCTGTGAGACCAAGGCAAGTAACTTTATCTCCTTGATTTGTTTGCTCACCAATTAAATGAGAGTGTTGGACTATCTAAGCTCTAAGGTCCCTCCCAACTCTATTTCTTGAACTTATGATCCCGTGACCTAGTGCCTTCTATATTCCTTCTGACAGTATTATTTGTACCTGCATGATTCAAGAGAAGTGGGCTTGACAAGTTTTAGGAGATACCTGGGTTTTGAGAAGACAGAAGACATCTATTGCTAGGTCCGTACACAAGGCCTTTTCATCTTGATAGTACCTGTCAACACAACCAACCTGACAGGACCTTACATTAAGCTGGCTTCATCTTCAAGGACCTAGAATCACCCCTACATCACAAAGAGGCATCAGAGTAGGAATTTTGTTAAGATGTTTAACAAATTTTTGTTGAGTGGTTACTGGATTTAACTGACAAAGTGGAGCAGAGTAAGGAAATCAGGCTAATGGGGAGACTCAAAACCATGATAATTGATGATTCAGTAGGCTGAAGGCCAATGATGGAGAAGGGAGAGAAATACGGGTTGATATCCTAGCTATACTGTGAGGATAAATCTAACAGAACATATGATCCAATATGGTGGTCAAAATGTCCCTCACATAGGGTCATTTTCCAAAGTACCTTGGTACATAGGGTAGCAGTGAAGATAACAACCACTGGGTTGGTCAGCATCACTACTTAGGAAACAGCTTTAATTCATGGCCATTTGGGAAGTGCAAAGGCAATGTGCAGTGGAGAGATTTAAGAAAAGAGAAGAGAACATGCTATAAGTAATTAGTAGATTTGGATACAACCAAGAAGATTTTTGGTTGTTTGAAAAAGTAAATGATTCAGACCCCAGTAAATGACTGTGAAGTAAAGAGCATAATGCTGAATTATTTGGATTCCCTGACACGGACTGTCTTTTGTAGTAAGCAGACATGTGAACCATGAGTTGTATCTGCTTTGACCTTCTTCCTAGGTAACTGTGGTGCTATGACTATTCTAATAGCTGTGTGTTCAGCATTTAGGTACTGATAAGGACTTTCTGATTCACATTAGGCTATTATTTCTGATAACAGCTATCTGAGATCCTGCTCCAACAACCTAAGGATATGTTTCAAAGCTCTAGATGTGATACCACAAAAGAAACAAAGCAGAGAAAATAAATAAGAAGTCAGAGAAACTGGTTGTAGCACCAGTAGCTATTCCCAGGAGGGATGGCATTTCTACTGCCTATGTATTATTGGTTTCTAATCATCTAAGCTCTAAGAAGAATCTAAGCTTTAGGCAGGCCTTTAATGGTAATGAGTATCTTAGAGGATGAAAATTATAGAATGTTAATGGTGGAAGAGATTTTGAGAGCATCTAGTCTAAACCCTGACCTTCCTCACATGAGGAATCTGAGACACAGAGAGATTAAAAGAATTGTATGAGGGCACACAGCTATTTGGTGACCAAACTGGGAATGAACCTCAGTATTCCCACTCAACTTAGTTCAATTCAACAAATACGGATTTAGTACCTACTATGTGCAAGATAGTAGTGTAGGTGTTGGGAGTATAAAGACAAAAAAAAAAAAAGATAGAGCTCCCGTCCTGAAATCAGGAGAACCTGAATTCAAATCTGGCCTCAGACACATAACACTTACTAGCTATGTGACTCTGGGCAAGTCACTTAACCTCAATTGCCTCACCAAAAAAAAAAAAAAAAGACAAAAAAAAAAATGCCATGGAATCAAAGAGCTTACCTTCTATAAAGGAATTCAAACAAATAAGGAAACAAGGTAATTTAAGGAGAAGGAGAACAAAAGACAAGATTTCACTGCCTCCTCTGAAATAGACTCCAGGTTGCAAATCTGAGTAACACCCACCCCCTATGCTTAGGGATAGGAAAGTGACTAAGTCTGAATGATGAACATAGTTACCATACCGTACCTTAAAACCCATAGGCCAATGAATAAGGTAAAGGTCCAAGTAGTCCAACTGTAGATCCTTCAGGCTATTTTGACAAGCACGTTTTACAAGGTCCTTCTCATGGAAGGTATTCCAGAGCTATAGAAAGGGAATAATAAAAGTATCACCATTACACAACTATGCTAAGTATTATCAGATTATGGGCTCTCCTAGTCAAAGGTGAGGTCCATAATCCAAAGAAATTAAAGCAAGTTAAGAAGCAAATAGGGCAGAAAGATAAAGAGACATTTATTAAATGTCTACTGTGTACCACCCCCTATGAGGGGCTAGATTAAAAAGAAAAAATGAAACAGTTCATACCCACAAGAAACTTGCATTCTATTGGAGGAAGTCAATATGAATATAAAGAGATATGCAACACACACATATGCACATACATATCATCTATATATATGCATCTATGTATAGATGTGTGTTTATATATGAAATAGATATATATGAGTATATATCACATGTGTGTATGTGTATGAAATAGATGCTAGACAGTTTAGGGAGAAGGTCAATTTGGCTTATCACAGAGTGCATAAAGGGAAGCAATGTGTAAAAGATTGGAAAACAGGTTAAGAACAGGCTGTAAGGAGCTTTCAATACCAAACAGGAGATAAAGTCATACCGCCTGCAAGAATCCTTTCCCAGGCCTCCTTCATCTTAGGTTAGGGCTTTCCCTCTGTAACTACCACCAATTTATCCCCTATTCAGCTTGTTTGTATATAGTTGTTTGTATCACATCTCCCCTAGGAGAGCTCCTTTTCTCCAGCACTTAACACAGTAACTGGCACTTAGTAGGCAATTAATAAATGCTTGCCGACTACCTGATTTTTGATCAATTCTATAGGTGATAGGGAGCCACTAGAGTTTATTGAGTAAGGAAGTGACAAGGTGAGACCTGAACTTTAGGAAAATCATTTGAACTTGCAGTTAAACCTGCTTCTTCTGTTCTTCTGAATAAGCTCGAGCTTTGGCCACCTCCCTCCCTCCTCTAACGTTTACCACATGAGAAATACTATGTATTTGTTCAATAGCAGATAGCTATGTTAACTCTGTCAGAACAGAATCTGGGAACAATTAACCCATATCATTAGTTCCCTATTCCCTTTGAGAGCTGAGAAGAAATTAAGTGCAAAGGAGATGGACTGAGTAGTTCTCCTAGACAATCCAATGAAGAAGATAATAGAGGGTGGACCGTGATTAATCCCTGACAATAAGTTGAGGAAGGTGTGCATTCTAGGCTTGGGAGGCAGCCAGGCTAAAGGCATGAAAATGGGAAATGGAGTCAAAGTTCCTTAATCAATCTGATGGGACTGATAGGGCAAAGGGAACTTCTAATGATGGGTTGAGAGGTTCAGCCACACTCCTCAGGGACTTAGATTAAAATCAAATAAACAATCTAGTCCCATTCTAAGAGACTTGAACTTGAGGTTAGCTCTGCCCTTGTTACAAGTGGTGGGGAAGGCAGTGATTTCTCTTCCTCATCTCAGTTTCTCTTCCCTATCTCTACCTTGCAGCAGAAACGTACATATGACTGTAGCAGATATGTGCTTGAAAGGGAATTCAAAAACATTGTTTCCAGAACCACAGCCTTCTGCACAGAGAAGTTCAAGGAGAGAGCTTGGCACCTACAGCAAGAATTCTGCTGCTCAGGAGATGGCAGGCCACAGAGCCAAGGTGCTAAGGAAGCTTCCTACTGGTCATCTGGTAAAGGTTCTGGTTCCGTAGGAAAGCACCTGGTAACACCTTAGCCAAGGATGTCAACTAAGCCAGAACCTAGAGGCTGTAGAGATTATAGTGATATGCTCTACAGAAATCAGGCTTAATGAGTCCAGCTGAGCAACAAGCCCAGATTATTTATCTCATCCAGTGAAAACTACTGTGGGGATATTATAAGAAGACATCAGGGGGGCAGCTAGGTGGCGCAGTGGATAGAACACTGGCCCTGGAGTCAGGAGGACCTGAGTTCAGATGTGACCTCAGACACATAACACTTACTAGCTGTGTGACTCTGGGCAAAACACTTAACCCCAATTACCTTGGTCCCCCTCCCAAAAAAGAGGACATCAGGGGTCTTTCAGCATTGGACACATAAGTTACACATCTATACATGTTCCTCAAATGTGATTACCTCATACCGACCTGTTGGTGGGAAATGAACCTCAGGTTATTTCGGGAAATGAATGAATGAAAAATCATTTAGCATATACCAAACACTGTGCCAAAATGCTAGCGATATAAGCATAAAAAAATAGGACAGCCCTCAAGGGACTTAACTCTAATCGGGGAGACAACACATATAAGAGTTCAGCTGCAGGGAGGTGCCGTATTTACAGGCAAACAGTAAAGCCCAGAAGACTTCATGACACAGTGCTAGGGCAGATAATAACACTCGGAGGTCCTCAATCTCAATGAAAAATTTATAGCTTGTGACTCCTAGCTCATGCAAGTGTTATACGTACAGCTATGCCTTCTTCTCACCCAGCTGCCCCAATGGGTGTGGAGAGCCTGAGAGCTGACTGGGGAGGGGTAAAGGGAAGGGAAGACGAATGTTTTATTATGAGTCTTCTTACCATGCTTTTCTATTATATGCCTTTTTCTTTAGCTAACTGTCATCTGATTGACTTCTAAAAGGTAAGAACTTATGAGCTAGAGTTTGGGGAGTGGGGCCTTCAGTAAGGCACACAAGAATTCTCTCCATGATATTTCACTCTTAAGGACATTAGAGAAGTAATACATTTGATAGCCATCACTGGAAAGTCATATTTCCAATTTTCATGAAAATTTCTAGGCAATTTTCTTCAATTTACGTTAGTCTGGGCCCAATTTCTTTTAATACTTAAGTCTATGGAGTCATATTACTTTCCACAGAGTGGAACTTGGAGTAGTTATACTCAAGGGAACCCATTCTGAGAATAAGAGGTACCCCAAGAGTCACTACACAAATAAAAATGGTAATACCTGAACTATAAACAAAATACCAACTGACATCTACCAGTAAAAACTAGTGGATAGGTAAAATAAGCTGAGTTTTTATTAAACCATCTCATTTCATTGAAGCCATCAGAGCCCATTAAGCAAACTAAAGTATGTTTAAATTTTCCCAATTGTCATTTTATAATTTAATCTTTCATTTGAAAGAAGGCTCAGTCAACAATTTAATAATATTTATACCAGTAAATTAATCAGGGGTCTCACTTAGACTAATAAATAATTATCCTTTATAATGTAAGCCAAAATGATTCATGAATTTATTAATTGTTAATTAATAGATTATAAACTATAAATAGATTAAATAGATTATAAACTATAAATTGATTAAAAGCCCTGATTCATGAATTAATTAATATATTAGAAACTCCTGGAGATCAGGGGTTGTTTAATTTTTTGTCTGTTCCTGGAACACAGTAGGTGCTTAATAAATGCTTGTTGATTGACTGTTCTTCCTTGTTGTCAGTGATGAATCTTTAGCCATAATTGCATCAAATTATTTTTTTAATTAATTTATTTTGATTTATCAACAATCACTTCCGTAAGCTTTTGAGTTTAAAATTTTTTCCCCCTTCCTCCCCACCACCCTCCCCAAGACGGCGCACAATCTGATATTGGCTATACATATACATTCTTATTAAACATATTTTCAAATTAGTGATGTTGTAAGTAAAAATTAGAACCAATAGGAAGAGCCACCAGAAAGAGGCAACAAAACTCAATAGAAGAGAAAAAAAAATAGCAAATAGTATGCTTCGATCTCCATGCAAATTCCCTAGTTCTTTCTTTGGATGTGGATAGCATTTTCTATCACGAGGCCTTTGGAAATGTCTTAGATCCTTGTATTTCTGGGAAGGGTTAAGTTTATCAATATTAATCATCACACAAAGTGGCTGTTAATTGCATCCAATTATTCACAGCAGTATCCACACAGTGGATAACTCACATCATTTTTACCTTGTCCTAGACCACATTATATGATTTAGGGAGCCAAGACCTGGGAATTTTCCTTCCTAAATTTGTTCTGCTGATATTTAAATTCGTTTGTATTTCCTCTGCACACATTAATTGATGGAAGAGAGCAAAGTTCTGGAGAGAAACACAGGATCATAGTGGAAGCTAATCCAGATTTAAATATTTTGCATACTCTACAAAATATATCATCTACCTACAGATAAATAAGAACTGACCACATATATTTGCATATTTAGTTCAATAATTCAAGTCAATAGCCTTCTATGAAATGCTTATAAGGTAAATAGCACACAAGAACTTCTCTAGACTATCTTACTCGCAGGACATTAGAGAAGTAATATGTTTGATAGACATCAATAGAAAGTCACATTTCTAATTTTCGTGAAAATCTCTACACAGCTTTCCTCAACTTACATTAATCTTGTCCTAATTTCTTTTAGTGCTTAAGTCTTTGGTCATGTCTCTTTGCATAGTGTTGGACCAATGGAACACACTACAGAAAAGAAGTCCCTGAGCAACAAACATGATCAATGAGTCAATATATCCTTCTGGATTCTAAAAAAATCCTTCTGCCGATTCTACCAGCTGTGAGCCCAGGGGTTATTTTCCCAGCAGAGAGGACATACCTTGGAGACGATGAAAAGGTCCTCCCTTTTCACAATGCCTTCTTTGAGCTTTTGCTGGATACCTTCTCCCACTTCCTTTTCATTGTGGTACAAAAAGGCACAGTCAAAATGGCGGTAACCCAGGTCTATGGCAGCCTTTACTGCTTCAGTCACTTGATTTGGAGAAGACTGCAGCATGAGAAAAATAAAAATAATGCCATTGTATTCATGAGATACTCATCCTATTTATATTTATACCCTTTTAGCTTTGGTTCTAGAGATTAGTGAACAGGCAAAAAATCAAATGTATAGGCACATCAATAAGACCCAATTAAGGAAAATACAAAGAATTAAAATCCACAAATATGTAGTCAATGTGGCATGTACTGTGATAGGCACTGTGAATCCAAGTATAAAGTACAAAACAATCCCTCCTCCAAAGGGGTTTACAACAAGTACACATAAAAATAGTTAACAGCACAAATATAAAATTATACATATACACATACACAAAACAAAGTACTTTGGGAGGAAGGGCACTAGCAGTTGAGGGGAATCAGGAAAGACTTCATGCAGAAGATGGTACTTGAACTGCATCTTCAAGGAAAAAAGAGACTCTCTGAGGCACAGATAAAAGTCAGGGTCCCATACCTCAAGGAGTTTACAATCTAGTTAGTGGAACAACAGAAACATAATTACAAACAATAAAAAGCAGCACAGATTGCTGAGGTGAATCTCACAGATTCTGAAGCACTAGTTCAGAAGAATGGAGCAGCTAGGTGGTGCAGTGGATGGAGTGCTGGGCCAGGAATCAGGAAGACTCATCCTCTTACCACCGTCCCTGGAAAACATATTATTTATTCCTCCCTCCACTCCTTTGCTTATGGTTTTCCCACTGCCTAGAATATCCTCCTTCTCTTCTCTGCCTTTGTGAGTTCTGTCCTTCCTTCCAATCCCAGTTTACAGCCCACCTCTTCCTCAAAGCTTTCCTTCACCAGTAGCCAACAGTGAGCTCTCTCTCTTCTGAACTGTTGTTGTTGAATCATTTTGGTCATATCCAACTCTTCATGGCCCTATTTGGAGTTTTCTCAGCAAATCACTGGAGTGATTTGCCATTTCCCTCTCCAGCTCACTTTACAGATGAGTAAACTGAGGCAAACAGCTAATAAATATCTAAGGCTAGACCTAAACTCAGATCTTTCTGACTCCATGCCCAGTGCTCCATTCACTGTACCACCTAGCTGTACCTCCTGCTTACTAATATCAATTGAGGTATAAAACAGTGATATGTAGGCTTGGCAAGGAGATTCAGTCCTGATGTGGAGGGACATGGAGAATGACCAATAAAGTCTGAATCAAAGACAGATTCCCTATAAATAAATGGCAAAGTCTCCAGATGTTCATATTTGTGGATGACATTATGCAGATTGCATCAAGTCCCAGAAAATTGCCATAAAATGAAATCCAAAGTCACTTTAATTAAAGAATTCTATCTAGGGGCAGCTAGGTGGCTAGAACACCAGCCTTGGAGTCAGGAGGATCTGAGTTCAAATCCGGTCTCGGACCAAATGCTTGACGCTTAACTAGCTGCGTGAACCTGAGCAAGTCACTTAACCCCATTGCCTAGCCAAAAAAAAAACACAAAGAATTCTATTTAGCCCCTCAAGAAAAACCAAGTCAATAAAGGATGCCTGTTGTCCAGACTATGACATTCAGTGAGTTAGCCACCCCATAGATTTATCTGGGTCCATTAGTACACGTATTTTGGATTGAACCTGCATATGGATAATAAACTAGACTCAGGATTGAATAGTAGGGAGAAAAGTAGACTAGATCTCACTTGAGAAATTGTACAGAGCTATTAATGACCCCATAACTTCCTTTTTTTTTTTTTTGCTTTTTGGTGAGGCAATCAGGGTTAAGTGACTTGCCCAGGGTCATACAGATAGTTAAGTGTCAAGTGTTTGATCTGAGACTGGATTTGAACTCAGATCCTCCTGACTCCAAGGCTGGAACTCTATCCACTGCACCACCTAGCTGCCCTGAGGCTTATCTTTTTAACACAAATATTCTTTCAGTTTCCAAAGAATTAAAGTAATCAATCACCCAAAGGGCAATGAAGAGATGTATGGGATCACTACACCACATAGCATATTACTACTGGAAACTTTCACACCAGAAGTCACATTAAAGATACGATCAAAGAGACGCATGACTGCAAAAGGAGGTGGGCCAGTTACACAGCAAAAGTAAGAAGGAATGGACAGTACATGTACTCCACTGGCACCCATATAATATCAAAATATCTATGGAAAGGGCAGATCCCTCATGCAGGATATACGGAAGGTTACAAAAATGGAAAAGAGACGCACAATTTGAGGAGGTATGGATGGCTTCCTAAACGAAACACTAGAAGAGATATCCATATTGATGGATTCTCAGCTCCACTTAAGATTGAAGTAATATGATGGCAAAGGGGGAAAATCACATAAGGTAAGATTGCAACTAGAAAATCATATAAGGTGAGATTGCAACTAGAGAGTTGCAGTTTGCTTTGATACACTGATGCCACTCTGAGTCAACGTGAGTAGAATCGTGTCTCTAACTTGCTTCCCAGGCCTCAAACTAGAACAGGTGAGATACAAACCAAACCTGATCCTTACATCATAAGCTCTCAGGCTCTATGTACTATTAACATAACCCAGGACAGGGTCAAGATGGCAGAGTGAGAGAAAGCATTTTTGCCTAACTCACCCAGACTGAATTCTGATCAGGAAAGCCAAGAAAAAGTCACAGAGTCATTTTTCCAGCCTAGGGCAGCTTAGGGAGACAGAGTGGTCTGTGGACACAAGGTGTGAGAGCTGTCCAGGATAGCTCTCATGGAGGCAGCAGAGAGGAACTTTCTAACGCCTAGGGTAGGCCTGCACAGCATATGGCCTGCGGGCCCAAGTGCAGCCCACCAAAGGATTTTGGGCGGCCTGTGAAAAATGTAGAGGTTATGAAAGAAAGTAAAGATGAAATGAGTGCTTTGTCCGTGCCCTGCTTAACCCATCTTGTATTAGTCACTATTGTGCCCGTCATGTAACTTGGCAGGTAGGTTGCCACTGAGCATTCTCTCCTGTTTGTCACATGATCCGAGGCAACCAACCGTCGTCTCAGTCTGTCTCTAGTTGGAGAGGAACAAGAGTCATATCTTTTTGCTGTGTTTTTGGTCATTACTGGTGTTGAACAGGGACAAACTGAGTGCAGCCACACTCCAATGCAGCCGACTCCTGCTATTCGACGAGCAGCAATAACTCAAAGGCTTCTTCCCCTCCCTCACTGCATGGCCGCCCTCCAAGTTACATGAGTATCTGGTACTCTCTCCAAGGTCAGACACTCAGTTTAGTATGTCTGTACGTGAGCACTTGCTGTGAAGATTTTTTGGTTCTAACATTAAAGTTTTGGAGGCAACTTTGTAAAATGGGTGATAAAAAGAAACAGAAGATTGAATTAAAACATAGAGTCTTTAATTCAGAGCGGACAAATAAATACTTGTTTACACAAGAGACACAGTATTGTGCCTTGTCTGCCGAGACGTAATAGCCTTTCCAAAAGAATACAATCTTCAGCGCCATTTCAAATCAAAACATCTGGACTTAAGCAAAATGGACACCAATTAAAAACAAATTAAAGCGTCCAAATTGTTGAAAAATCTCAGAGGGGAACACCAGTTTTTCAAGAAAGTAAACTCAGAAAATGAGGTGGTTACTAAGGTTAATTTTCAGATTTCTAAAGAAATTGTTGCTGCTGGGAAGTCTTTTACTGAAAGTGACTTCATAAAGAAGTGTTTGCTGATTGCAGTTTCTTGATTATGTCTCAATAACAAAAGGGTTCTTGATAAATAGTTTAATCATTAATTATACCTTTACTTGGAAAGTGAGCCACTTAAAACCTATCTGAGGCCTGAAGAAATTTAATCTATTTTAATTTTGGCCCCTACCTACTGCCAAGTTGTGCAGGTCTCTCCTAGGGACAGAAAGGAGGCCTAGACAAAAAGCACCAGGCCTGAAAGAGATCCCAGAGGCTACCTGAACTAGCACTGGGTACAGGAATGGGTACCATCTAGCAGCTTTGTTAACCATTACTCAGTTTCTGGGTCAAACATCCAGGGAGGAGAGGTGTGTTCGAAAGGTACCCTAGCTATGTTTTGAGCCAGGAACAAATTTTGAAAGCACAGCAATAAAAATTACATTCAGCAAAGGGGCTTTGAAGTATAAATTAAAAACTATTAGAAACTAAATAACTTTATCCTGAAGAATGGGTAGCCAATGAACAAATCATAGAAACAATCAATAATTTCCTTAAACTAATAGCAACAATGATATGACACACAAAAATTTGTGGGATACAGCCAACCCATCACTTAGGAAAACATATCAGTAAAAAAGTGAAAGAGGAGATTGATGAATGAGGCATGAAACTAAAAAAAAAAAACAAAACTAGAAAACCAACCAATTTAAACTCCCAATTGAATACCAAAACAGAAATTCTGAAAATCAAAGGAGAGATTAACAAAATTAAAAGTAAAAACCCCATTGAACTAAATAAATTGAATTAAATAAATAAATAAATTGAAATAAAACTAGGAGTTGGTTTTTTGAGAGAAAAAAACTAATAAAATAGATAAGCCATTATCTAATTTGATTTAAAAAAAGAAAGAATATCATTATCAAAAATGAAAAAGGTAAATTCATAACCAATGAAGATGAAATAAAAGCAATTATTAGGAGTTATTTCAACCAACTATATGCCAATAAATCTGACAACTGAAATTAAATAGATGAATATTAACAAAAAATACAAATTGCATAGAGGGGAATACCCTCAGGGTTTCTGGCCAAAACAGAAACAATTGCTATTTACATTCACTCTAGCCAAACAGAGCCCAAACAATGACCAAGTGGGGCTTGGCCAGATTAATATTTTTTTTAAACTAGGTAAAAGAGGCCATTCTCTGCCTCATTTCTTACCTAACCTCAATCACTAAATGGTTGTTGCCTCAGTGAAACTGAGACCTGTTAAAGACCTTAGCTTAAAAAGGCCAAGGTCTCCAACTGTATCCAGGGCCATATCCAGAGGTACTGATCTCTATCTTGCCACTGGACCCACATGGCTTTGGAGGAGAAAGTGAGGCTGGTGAATTTGTACAGCCCTCCCTCACTTAAATCCAATTCATTTACATGTCTCAGCATCACCTCCCTAATGTCATGGTCCTTCCTCTGAGAATGAAAGACAAGTAACAATAACAACAAATTGCACAGAAAAATAGAACAGGAAATAGAATATATAAACAATTCTATCTCAGAAAAAGAAATTGAACAAGTCATAAATGAACTCCCAAAGGAAAAAAATCCCAGGACTAGATGGATTTACAAATAAATTCTACCAAATATTTGAAGAATCAATTCCAAAACTACATAAACCGTTTAAAAACAGGTAAAGAAGGAATCCTTCTAAAATTCCTTCTGTGACACAATACGGTCTTGATACCTAAACCAGGGAGAGTCAAAACAAAGAAGAAAATTATAGACCAATTTCCCTAATAAATATTGATTTTTAAAAAATTAAATAAAATACAAGAAGGAAATTACAGCAATATATCACAAAGATCATGTATTATTATAACCAGACTGGCTTTTTACCAGAAATGAAGGGCTGGTTTGATATTAGGAAAGTCATTAATCATAATTGACTATATTTAATATCAAACCAACAAAAATCATATGATCATTGCAATAGATGCAGGGAAAGCTTTTTACAAAATACAATATTACTTCTTGTTAAAAACACTAGAAAGCACAGGAATAAGTTGAGTTTTCCTTAAAATCTTAGGTAATATATATCTAAAACCAAAAGCAAGCTGTAATAAGAATAAGCCGGTAATCTTTCCAACAAGAGCGGGGTGATGCAAAGATGTCCACTATCACCATTACTATTCAATAGTGACTATAAGACAAGAAAAAGAAATTGAAGGAAATAAAGAGGAAATAAAGCGTCACCCTTTGTATATAATATGCTCGTTTGCTTAGAGAAGCACAGTAAACTAAAAAGTAATTGAAATAATTAACAACTACAGCAAATTTTCAGGATCTATAAATAAACCCACGCCAATCATCAGCATTTTATACATTATAAGCAAAACCCAGCAGGGAGAGATAAAAAAAGAAATTCCATTTAGAAAAAAATAATACACACAGGAACTGTATAAACTGTATAAACAGGGGAGGGGGGCCAAAGGTGAAGCTGACGCTCCGAGAAGGTAAGGGGGGGAGGGGGAGGGGAGGAGGGATTCCTAGCGTGGGCGACCCGGCCTCCCCCGCCGACGTCGGCCGCCACTCGCGTGCACACCCAGGCTGCACGAGCCGAGAGCCGCTCGCTCTGCAGGTCCGGCCAACCTCCCCCCTCCCACGGCAAGGGGAGTACGCTCTACCTTCCAGGTGCCCAGACCCAGCACAGGGATTTTCTCCATCTTACTCCAGACTGGACCAGCTGATCACTGAGCGACTCCACCGGGTAAACTCTGGAGTCATAAAGGGCCTAAGTGCTTTTTGATTGGCTGTTTGGAGGCTGCTCAGGCTTCCATTCACGCATTCATTCTTTTAGTTTACCCTCTTTTTTGCTGGATGGTTGGTAAACACCGGCTACATCAATTCACTGCGACCTGCAACTATACTAGGCCACGTTGATTTTGCATGTTTCTGAATTTAGCTGTTTCCAAATGGAGAGAAATGCAGTGAAGTAATACCGTATCTTGTCTGAACGAGATGGGGCACCGGAGGTCAACAGAGAGTTTGGGACAGGAGACTGTAGGTTTGAGAATCATCAGTATAATCCGCCTCCAGGGAGAGAACTGATGAACTTTGCATACAGACTGAAGTATACCTTTTTTTACTTTATTTTTTCTTGTTGTTGTTTTTTGTTTGTGTTTTCTCCTGCAGCGTTGCTACTATGGAAATGTGTTTTGCATGACTTCCCGGGCAAAATCCATATCAAATTGCTTGCCTTCTCAAGGAGGTGGGGAGAAAAGGGAGGGAGAGAATTTGGAACTCCAAAAAAATTTTAAATAAATATTAAAATTTACATGTAATTGAGAAATATTTAAGGAAATTATATATTATATATACATATATATATTTTAATGAGAATCATGAGCATAGAAATGATAACTAAATCCATAGGAGCTGATAAGATTACCAAGTGAAGTAGTATAGAGGGAGAAGAGAAGAGGGTCCAGGATAATGCTATTCCCTCCATCTACCCTATATAATCTATAGCAACACTGTAGCAACAAGGGTGGGGATGGGGGTGCAGGAAAGAGAGAGAGTAGATTAAAGGAAGGCTTAGTCCTAAGGTGGGGGGAAACAAGGTGGGAAATCAATCCTCTAAGCATATACCAAAATAAATATACTTTTGCAATGGCAAATAATTAGAAACTGAAGAGGTGTCCTTTGATTTGGGAATGGCTGAACAAGTTATGGTATGTGAGTGTTATATAATACTATTGAGCTGAAAGAAATGGTGAAGGGGATGGTTTCAGAGAAACCTAGGAAGACTTGTATGAAATGATGCAGAATGAAGTGAGCAGAGCCACAACAATGTATACAATAGCAACAATATTGTAAAGACAAGCAACTTTGAAAGTCTTAAGAACTCTGATCAGCACAATGACCAACCACAAGTCCAGAGGACTCTTGATAAAGCATGCTACCTGTCTCCTATAGAAAGGTGATGGACTCAGTGCAGATTAGATATATTTTACTTCTGGACACGAATAATGGAAAAATTGTTTTTGCTTGACTATACATGGTTTGTAAAAGGGTGGTTTTCTTTTAATTTCTTTCTCAGTGCAGGGGAGAATGTTGGAAGAGAAGGCAGATTTTCATTGATTGAAAAAATAAAATTTGACATTAAAAAAAGTGTTGCTAAAATAGTGTTACTTCCATCCTACAAATTACAATGTATTGGTAAAATGCACTCTGAAAAGATAAACTAATTAACATCAAAGTTTGAAAAAAAAAAAGGAAGGAAATAGAAAGTATGTAGTACTCGTAGGATCTAATAAAGATAGGGATTATACCCAGGGAAAGCTACAGAATGGAAAATTTTAGTGTCTCCTGCTCTGTACTAATGATCTCCTAATTGCCAGATCCAATGGCCTTTTCTCAGTCCTCATTCTCCTTGCCTTCTCTTCAGCCTTTGACAATGTTGATTACTCTCTCTTCCTTGATACTATTTTCTCTCTAGGTTTTTGGTTCACCATTCTCCTGGCTTTCCTCCTATCTATCTGACCACTCCTTCTCTATTTCATTTTCTTCCCCCCACCCCCAAACCTTCCACCCCAACTCCTCCTTTCCTTGTTACTGCAGCGGGCAATACCATCCTCCCAGTCCCTCAGGCTCATAACCTAGGAGTCATCCTGGATTACTCCCTATCCCTCACTCCCTATATCCAAGCTGTCACCAAGAGCTGCTGATTTCACCTTTGTAACATCTCTCAAATATGCCCCTTTCTCTGCTTTGACACTGGCACCACTCTGTAGAGCACAGGCCCTCATCATCTCATGCCTGGTTTATTGCAATAGCCTGCAGCTGGATCTGCCAGCCTGAAGTCTCTCCCCACTCCAATTCATCCTGTATTCAGCCACTAAAGTGATTTTCCTAAAACTCAGGTCTAATCATGTCACACACACACACATATTCCACACACCCCAATAAACACCAATGGCTTCCTATTGCCTCCTGGAGCAAGTACAAAATGCTCTTTTTAGCATTTAAAGCCCTTCGTAGCCTAGTCGCCTCCTACCTTCCCAATCTTTTTACACTGTACTCTCTGACACAACTCTTCCATCCAGTGACACTGGCCTCCTGTCTGGTTGTTCCACAAACAAGACACTCCATCTCAGCTCTAGGGTATTCTCTCTGGCTGTCCTCCATGCCTGACTCTCTCCCTCCCTTGTTCCAGCTGCTGAATTCCTTGTATTCCTTTAAATCTCAACTAAAATCCCAGCTTCAGGAAGCCTTCCCTAACCCCTCTTAATTATTTCCCTTTTTTTTTTTCTGTATATAGTTTGTTCTGTATATATTTGTTTGCATGTTTGTCTTCCCCATTAGACGGTAAGCTCCTTTAGGACAGGAACCTTATTTTGCCTCTTTTTGTATCCCCAGTGCTTAGCACAGTACCTGGCAAATAGTAGGTGCTTAATAAATGTTTATTGAATTGAATTGTTGACTTTCACCATGTTTCATCCTTCCTTCACTGAATGTCTGACCAGAGAAAGAGAGGAGAAGATTAAGTTGAAAGGACAGTGAAGAGAGAAATGCTAATAATTAAAAATTGCTATTTAGAATCACTAAATCCTAGGGCAGAATAAAACATCAATTGGTCAAGTAGCCAATTTGCTTTTGCCTAGAAAGAACTATAATGGGGAAGGGAAGGAAAGGGAAGGGAAGAAACATTGTATAAAAGCTTCACATGAGCCAGGTACTGTGCTAAATGCTTCACAAATATCATCTGATTTGATCCTCACAACAACTCTGGGAGGTAGGTGCTGTTATTATCATCATTTTGTAGTTGAGGAAACCAAGGGAAATAGAAGTTAAGTGACTTTTCCTGGGTCACACTAATGCCTGAGGTTGGATTTGAATTCAAGTCTTTCCCATTCCAGGTCTAGCTCTCTATTGACTGTTATGACCTGCCTCCTCTATAATCTATAACCAAATCTTCTTAGGAAAATATTTTTTCTACAAATAGAATTTGAAAAGAACTCAGAAATCATCTTGCCGAACCCCTCCCTGAAGTAAGAATCCTCTCAACCACATGATAGCATGGTTCAACGGAAAGAGCCCTGAATTTGGAAACAGCCCTGATTCATATTCCAGCTTATTTACAACCTTCACGTCCTTTTGAAAGTCACTTGGTCTCTCTTGGCCTCAGTTTCCTCAAGGTTGAGGTTAAGTTCATTTTTTGGGGTCCTTTCAAGTTCCAAATGAGTAATTCTGTGATGCTCAACTTGTGGTCTAGCACTTAGCACAGTGCCTGGAGTGCAGTAGGAAGATAATAAATAGTTGTTGATTAGTTGTCTAGCTTGCAATGAAAGATCTCCCAGGACCTATCTCCCAAGGCAGCCTATTCCTCTGATTAATGGTTTGTTCTAATTCTTAGAAATTTTTGCTTATATTAAGCTGAATTACACCTCCCTATAACTTCCACCCATTACATTTTCTGGGACCAAGAAAAATGAGGATGAAAGTCAATCAAGGAAAAATGGAACTTCAGGCAAAGGTCTAATGCCACTCAAGTGTGGGCTGGTAGGCTTGACAGAGAGCCAAAGGCATGATCTTCACGTGGGATATCTTCTGAATGTGCCTTATCTCCTATTGCATGGAAGGTAACCACTGACCTAGAGATAATTGCGAGTCACTGGAGTTTATTGAGTAGCTAGGAGGCGAGATGGTCAGACATGCATTTTAGGAAAATCACTTTGGCAACTGTGTGGAGGATGTATGGAAGTGGGGAGACATAAGATAGAGAAGCCAATTAGGAGGCTAATATTCCAGGTGAGAGTTGATGAGGGCCTGAGCTAGGGTGGTGGCCATCATCAATGACCATAAGGGGACCTATAAAAGGCATGTTGAAATCTATAAAACCTCTGCTATGAAAACAGGTGGATGACTTTGACCAGAGGTAGTCAGAAAACACAAGCACTTTTTTTCTCTTACTGTAGGACCTCTCAGCCAGATCATGGCAATAGGCCTTCAGTCTTTCCTGCGCTCTAATCTGCCCTTCATAAAGTTGCAGAATTAATCTTCCCTGCTTAAAAACCTTTACTGGCTCACTCCCCTTTGCCCAAAGGATAAAATATAATTCTTCCGTTTTACCCTACACAGAGCTGTTCCAACCTGCCTTCCCAGTCTTATTTTGCATGTCTCTAGCTTTCACATACTCTGTGGATTCTAAATTCTAACCCCACTGTACAACTAGCTGTATTCCAATTTCAACCTGCCCTCTTCTGCCTCTGTGCATTGATGCAAAGCATCTCTCGTGCCTGGAACACTTCCTCTACACCTCTGCCTGCTGAATCCTTTTCTTCCCTTGAAGTTTCAGTTCAGATTGCATAAATTTCATAAAACTTTCCCCCAGCTAAAAACAAATTCTCCTCAAACTTTCTCAGAGGTAGAAAGGGATTGATCAATGAGGGCCCAATCCTTAGAACAGGTTCCAATTTGTCCTTCTTGGTGGCTTATATAGAGCACACGCAATACTCTATCTGGCTCCAATCCAACACATAGTAGCTTGATGGGCCTACTTCTGGCCATAAATTACTGAAGGGCTGGTACCATGGGGTGGAATCATCTCATTGGATGAGGAGCCAGAAGGACTGATAAGATGAAACTGAGTTCACAAACAAAAGGGTAAATTCGTCCAAGGGTGTGCTGGAGTCCCTTCAAACTAGTTCTTAAGAGTTGATTGTTAAATTTTTAATCTGAGTATTAACACATCTGAAATCCCAAAATGCTACAAATCAAGAGTTGATTTACTGTTTTGTTAATTCTCTGGACTTAAGAAAGTGATGGACTTAAGTATATCATGCCTGCATTTTTTTTTTCAGAAAGCCAGTTAATAAACATTTATGAGCACACCATGGAATATTCCCCTGTCTTGGCCCTTTTGCTCTTTTCCTTCCTGGTGATAAAGCAAATAGAAATACTATTAGCTCCTGGGTAGGGGAACAGCAAGTTATATTCCCCCAGTGACCTTAGATGATTCTATGAGCACATGTCACCTTTGTTTCTTTTGTGTTTATTCTTTATTGTTGTTAGGTGAATAAGTATCCTAAGAAAGGACTGCCCAGTTGACCAATGGGTTTAGGAGATCTATGAAAACTATCAGAGATCCTCCATGCAACAAAGTTGATTGAAGAGTTCGCTGGAATCAGTAGCAGCAGTAGCCAAGAAACCTGCTTGACTGACCAAGTCCAACAGTGTGATTGAACTTTCAACCAGCAATAAGGAGCTAGTGAAGCTGAGCAAGGGAGTAACTCTTCCATTGCCAAACCCATGTCCAGAAGCAAACTTGATGGGAAACCCCTCACATGGAGAAAAGAACTTTCAGGCCAGGAGTCACATGGTACCCATATAATTGAACTTGATTAAGGTTCCTATCTCCTTTTCCAGCCCAGTTGCCTTACATTCTTGCCAAATTGAACCAATCACCTCTCCCTTTTTCACTTTTGTAGCTTTACTAATGTCATTTCCACTATCTAGAATACTCACCCTACCATCTCCAATTGGTATGACCCTCCCTATTTTTCAAAGTTGTTAGATGCTATATCTCTCTGTTCAACCCAGCCACAAGTGACTTTTCCTTTCCCTTGAGAGGAGGTGCTCTGAAGCACTTGGTTAATAGCCCTTTTAGGGTATTTTTCATTGACCACATTATATTGTGTTTCTGTATAGATCAGTTGGTTAAGAAGCATTTATTAATCACCTTTTATGTGACATGTACAGTGCTAGCCAACAAGAATACAAATACAGAAGTGAGACAAACTCTACCCTCAAAGAGCTTACATTCTTTTAAGGGAATACAACATGTGGAGGCAAGTAGTGGTCACACAATTAAGCTTTGATAATCAAATATAGCCAAATGACCGTAAATTGTCAAGCGCTTTCCAGATGCAATGGTAGTATCCATTTGATTATTATTCCTAAGTCGAGAGCAAGGCCCTGCATAGACTCTGGTGTCCTGGTGGATTGCTGAATGAGATGTAAAGCACGAACAGGAACTAACTACACATACTGGGTTGAGGTGAGCTTTCACTCAGTCACTCAATAATTAGGAGAGCTCAGCCTCAGGGCAGAGTCTCAGAGTTGAGTAAATTAACTCCTCTAGAACTGAGGAATGGACTCCAAAGACAATGGTTGTTCATGGAAGAGAAAAGAGGCAGCACAAGTAGTGAAATTCCCACTCCGGACATCACTAGATGGGATGTATGTACTGGTAAGGAATATTAAGGGGTCTCTTGAACTTGTCTTTTTGAGTTGCCATATTTTCCAGAAACAATGGACCCAGAGTTTGCAGGAGGCCTTGCATGTGTCAAGGACAAAGGTGCCCCAGAGCTGATGTAATTTGTTCTTTGCATCCCAGCTGGACTTGGGAGTCAAGACAAGAGCCAGTCAGTCTGCACCAGGCTGAGAAATTGCTTGTGCAGCTGGCACCCTTGTGGATAAGCAGACCATACTGTCTTCATGGTTTAGCAGCTCCCCAGGGACAAAAATGCTGCTTTTACCATTGCCTTGCTCCTCCTCTTCAGCAGAAGTTTTGTCCTTTTCCCACCTTTACTGCATCTTTCCCCCTCCCATGCCTCATCCTTTTAGGTGGAGATTTGTTTCCTCCTCCTTCCTGTATTGGATGTTATAAATATGTAAACTTCTGTATAGATTGTGAACTCTTTGGGTTCCACATGCATGTTCATTGCTCTTGTAATAAACCTACTTTTCACATAAATTTTATGAAGTTGTGATTGCCTGTTAACAATATCTTTTCTTCAGTTTCTTGAGGACAAGAACTGTGTATTTATCATAACACCTAGCACAGTACCTCTCATGTAGTAGGTATTCAATGGATATTTGTGGAAGGCAGGAATTCTGAGGAAGGCAGGAAGGAAAACAGGAAGAAAGGCAGGAGGGAAAAAGGAAGGAATACCAAGTTCATTGAAGTTTAAGAAATAACTCTGCTTTATAATAAACATAATCATATAGGCACAAAACAAGATTGAGTTCTCCTGGAACTACCCACGGAAATGATTGCCTTATAAATAGTCAAGACACCAAGAATCTTTTTTTGAAAGTCAACATTTTTTGAAGGTAGAAAAAGACTCTGGTATCATCTGACAGTCATGGAAGTGGCTGGAGAGCTAGCCAACTGGCTCTCAGTCTTTGTGTAAACCAGAAGATAGGCTGTTTCTCCCCTAAGAAGGAAGAATAGAGGGAAAAACTTTGATCAGTTAATGCAAGAGTTTGCAGGGGATAGTCTAGTACCAATATCAAGTCAGTTCCTAGGCATTATTTTTTATGGTCACTGGTAATACACCAATCAAAGGAGTATTTTCTTCTCTCCTGTTCATTTGCATCTTTTGGCAACATAGCCTACATCTAAAATGGCACCCCTAAAAATCCAGAACTCCCTCCCACTTCAGTGTTAAATTATTCCCTCACATCCACCCCATACAATGGGCACTCAAGAATTTTTCTGGTCTCTAAATGTTAAAGAATAATCTCTACTCTAGGATATAAAGTCCAAAGAGAAACTTTTAGGATATATAAAAGATCACCTTTTGAATCACATGTCCAGTTAATAGAAGAGAGACAGCTAGTAAGACAGAGGTTAAATCTTTGCAATGTTTTGTTAACACAGCAAATTGACAACTACAATTCATTATTTGAGTTTTCTTTTGTCAATTTTTTATAATACACAAAAAGGGAATGAATGGAAGAGTGAATAAGGTTCCCAGCCCAGTTGTTGATCAAAAAACTCAGGTTCATGACCCTATTAACACCAAGGACCTTATGGAATCTCAAATCTTTTTTGCACAATTAATGAAACTATTTCTCTTACCAAGATAAATAGCAATTCCCATAAGTCTTTTTGATATCTTCCCATGTTGCCTACAAGAACACAAAGAGATAAAGCTAAATGGTCAATATTTATTAAATGCACAAAGCATGGTCCTACATCACATAGGCTTGCTCATTCCCACCATATTCACCACTAATGATCTCAAGACCCTGGAACATCTAATTATAGGATGTCCTTTCTGCAAAGCCTTTCTGACTCTGTTTATATAGCAGTTTGCTTATTCTGTTTATCATATAATATCTGAGTCTGTGGTTCTTACCTTCAATTAGTATCCATATAACACAGCTCTTTGTCACAGTTTCTTCTGACATCCTGATGCTCCCCCCAAATGCATCAAAGTTCAGGGACAATGAATCTAAATCTTCCTATCTTTGGAAATGGCCCCTAACAGATACATGCAGCAGAGTGGCCTTTCTCAGGAAAGGGTCTAGAGACTTCAAATTTAAAAGACTCCCAAACCACAAAAGGGACCCCTCCAAATTCCAAAAAGCAGACCCAAAACATTTGTGGCATCGTGAGTCTATCTGATATTGGTGCTGTTCCATTAGTATGCTCTAATTCCAATTAAAATGGTATGAATATTCTGAATGTGTGGTTAACCTAGTGTAAGAAGCCAGATTCCTTACCCAGCAGACATTGGAGTCATTAAAGCAGAACCATCTGCCATCAGCAGGATTACAGATATAAGCACAGTAATGTCCACAGCTGGCTGTCCCCATGTGAGCAACCACAGCAAAGAGTTCATACTGCTGGGGAGAAAAGAAACAAGGCACAATGAGGTACCCCTACGACACTTAGACAATAGTCTATTGGGGATATAGAAGGGCTATACGATTTGTAAGAATCAGCTTGTTTATTGATACTATATTCTTTCTTTCTTTTTTTTTCATATGAGGCAATTGGGGTTAAGTGACTTGCCCAGGGTCACACAGCTAGTCAGTATCAAGTGTCTGGTCTGAGACCAGATTTGAACTTAGGTCCTTCTGATTCCAGGGCGGGTGCTCTATCCACTGCACCACCTAGCTGCCCCTATGATATGTTATATATCATATATATTATATGATATGTTCTTCAAAAAGGTAATAATAGCACTTCTCTCCTAGGATTATAGTGAAGATAAAATGAGATATGTAATGTGTACATACATAAAGCACATTATGAGTAATATAACATAAGAAAAACATATAAACAACTGACCCAAACCTTACAGCACTACATAAATGTTAGCTACTACTGCTATTGTTGTTAACATTCTGCTATCAAAGAACCTGGGACTAGGAGATAGCTATAGTAACTTAAAGTTGCAGTCCCTCTAAAAACAACACATTTTCACTGTTTCTAGTTGCATCCATAATTCCTGTACCAACCAGGCATATCTATAATGGAAAGAGTTTTGGGTTTGGAGTCAGACAACCTGAGTTCAAATCCTGGTTCTGCCGCTTATTAACTGCATGACCTTGGGTAAGTCACTTAACTTCTGGAGATATCAGTTTCTTCTCATCCGTAAAATAGTGTTGGATGGGCTTGATGATCTCAGAGGTGCATACCAGCTCTAAGACTGTGTCTCTATGATCATCTTCCTCAAAAAATGGAAAGTATCTTCTTAGAGTTGGTAGAGCTTAGAGGGAATGGGATTGAGAAAGAGATACTCTTCCTACATACAAATGCACCAACACTAATTGAAGAGCTTTTTATTTTTCAGGCAATTGGGGTTATGTGACTTGCCCAGGGTCACAGAGCTAGTAAGTGACGAGTGTTTGGTCTGAGGCCAGATTTGAACTCAGGTCCTCCTGACTTCAGGGCCGGTGCTCTATCCACTGTGCCACCTACCTGTCCCTGAAGAGCTTATTAATTGAAAGATATGAATCCACAAATAATACCAAGCAGCCAACAGGTTTTTTTGGCCACTGCCTGTCCTAATTACTACAAAGCAGCTAGGTGGTGCCATAGTGCACAGGGCTCTCTGGGCCTGGAGTTAGGAAAAACTGAGTTCAAATCCAACCTCAGACGCTTACTAGCTCTGTGACTCTTGCCAAGTCACTTAACTCCTGTCTGCCTCAGTGTCTTCAACTGTAAAATAGAGATCATAATAGCACTGACCTAGCAGGGTTGTTGTGAGGATCAAATGAGATAAAGCATTTAGCACAGTGCCTGGCACAAAGTCGTTGCTTAGTAAATGCTTATTCCCTTTCCCTTGCCCAAACAAAGACCATTATTACTGACTAGGTAGAGGGGACGGAAATAAAGACCAAGGCAGATGCTCAAAGGTGACCTCTCTGAAAGAGTGGGTCAATTCTTTTCTAGCAGGCTTCTAGATCTTCAGGGTTCTTCAATCCAGAGACTCAAATGAACAGGAGAAAAGAATCACTTCTCTGACTAGGGTTAGCAATATCCCCTACCTGTCCTTCAGGGTCCCACCAATCTTGTACTGCTGGAAGGACCTGACTGAAATCCAGGCTTTTGGGAAAACTCAATGGGTGGATGATCTTCTGAGTCCTTGAGAAATTCTTGGAGGAGAACCGCATAAGGTGTAATGTCAGCGTCGGGGGCAAGTTGGTTACCTTCATTGTCTGAGAAGTAGAAACATGAAGACTAAGAAGAGTAAAAATCCATACTATTAGAGGAAGAAAGGTACTAGGATGAAAAGTCAGCCCAGCATGGGAATGTTGGATTTCATCTCAATGATTTACCTTGGGAGGAAGAATCAGGATTGGAGCAGAGGGACATCTACTCAGTTGTAACAAACTAGCATGTGCTTTTTGCATTTTAAGAAAGATCAGTATTATCTTACCACACTAGAAATTTTACCCAGCTAAATAAGTTCAATTATTTTCTGGTCATAGTAGGAATTTGTCCAGCACATCTAACGGAGGTAGTCCAACCTTGGCCTCATTCTCCCTTCTCCCCTTTTGAAATTCCTTTCTTTTGGGAATGAAGTGCTCTGATGAACTGTGGCAACAATTGTCAAAAAATCCCTGTTTCAATTTTGATATTGACATAGTACCCCCATCATGATTCAGTCTCAAGCCAGGGTCCAGGGGCCCAAGATGGAAGGAATTCAAGGACCCGAAGATGCTATAGGGAAACTCTACCTGAGCCAGGAATATCCTAAAACTCCAACAAGGGCAACATTGGAATAACAAAAAGTCTGGTGGAAGGAGGCAGGCCCTCACATGGGGCTAATTACCTGTTGCCAGTAGGTCATCTTCCCACAATTCTCACAGAAACACTTGTTTTTGCCTGACAACTTCATGGGCTGGAAAAAACATTGTAGGGAATCTTCCTGTCCCAGAAGACACAAAGGGAAATACCAGTGTCAGACCTTAACAGTCTTGGCTTCTATCTCATCAGGTTCCTCCTCTTTTTCCTCACAAATTCCCAGCCCTTTCAACTCCAACCTGAGGTATTTACCAAGTAGCTCTACTTTGGGGGTTAAGGGAAGGTGATATGCCACCTAATCCCACCACATTCTCTTTATTACAATATGGGTTCCCTTTGTGGAGTAGTAAAAAACTGGAGGCAAAAAAGGAGATGTCCACCAGATGGGAAAAGGCAGAACAAATTGAGGTACATGCATAAGAATAGATAAAAATGAAGAATTTAGAGAAGCATGGGAAGACATATGAAGGAGAGTGAAGTAAGAAGAACCAGGGGAACAATATACATGCTGACAATGTAAATTGAAAAAACAAAAAATTGAATCTGAACAGTGTATGATGTTAAAAAACCAAGCTTGGCCTTGAAAATAGATAAGAAAATTCACCTCCCTGCCTTCTTTAAGAGGTGGGGACTGTGAGTATGGAGCAATGTATACCTACGATCAGACTTGATTGACATATTGGTTAATTGTACTGAACTGCTTTTTTCTCTTTTTTATTTAGTGGGAGAGAAGGGAGATATATTTGGAAGTGAAGGCAGTGAAAAATAAAAGATAATGACTTCTGGTTAAGATGGTGACATGGAATGTCTATAAGAACCCAGATCACCCATAAATACCTCAGCAAAGATCTGAGTGGGCACCTGATTAAACAGTGATTAAGATGACCAAAGGAAAATACCAATAAGCTCCTCAATTAGCTCCTGAAGAAGACAGCCAGGGGGGCAGCTAGGTGGCACAGTGGATAGAGCACCGGCCATAAAGTCAGGAGGACCTGAGTATTAGCTGTGTGACCTTGGGCAAGTTACTTAACCCTAACTGCCTCACTAAAAAAAAAAGAAAGAAAAAAAGAAAGAAGTGATGCTTCTTGAGATGCTATTTGGGGGCAGCTAAGTGGCACAGTGGATAGAGCACCAGCCCTGAAGTCAAGAGGACCTGAGTTCAAATCCGGCCTCAGACCAAACACTTGACACTTACTTGCTGTGTGACCCTTGGCAAGTCACTTAACCCCAATTGCCTAAAAACAAAAACAAAAACAAACAAACAAAAAAAAAAGAAGACAGTCAGAAGCCTGCAGCTTCTGGAAGAGGGGATATGTCATGGCAGGTAGAAACCAGCATGAGCTCCCATCCATGGAGACTGAAGCCAATGAGATCTTAGCCCTGGCTTGTCAGAGAAACTGTACTGGTCCAAACCAACCCCACAGGTCACTGTGCAGGGAGATGGGGCTGAGCAGTACAAACCTCAAGGAAGCTAAAGCTGTAACAGGAGGCAGGGCCAGCTCAGCACCAGATGTGTAGGCCTTGTATCACACCTAAGACAAGCATTACCTCTGAAATCTGATTGGGACCCATTAGGGCCACAGCAGGGTACAGAGCTAAGATCATTGGTTGGAGCTCATGCAAGAAGAAAGAAACAGAGAAAAGGCCAAGGCCATCACCCATGTTGAGCCACCAGGAGACAAAGGCAGAAGTCCAGGATTGTAACAGAGAGTGGGGCCCAGTCCCAGCTCTGCTATGCAGAAGTTCAGGGCCACTGGTCTCCAAGATAGTGAAGAGATCAGGCCAAGAAGAGCTTTCTTACTACGTGCAAAAGTCCTACTCTAGGAACTGAGGTTGGTGATATGAGTAAATAAAACAAAACCAAAAACTCTAGCTACAATGAAAAAATATTATAGTAATGTGATATTATGGTATTATAGGTTAAAAGAAGTCCAAGAGGTAAACCCAGAAGAAAAATCTCCGTATCAAGTACAAATAGAGCTTGTCCACAAGTACAAAATGGTTTGTCCGTAAGCACTCTAAGAGAAGGCATAAGAAATTAAAATTCATTTAAAAATGAAATTCAATCTCAAGGGGAAAAAATTAGAAAAATAAACATCTTAGAACAGAAGATGGAAAACCTTAACCAAGTAGTGAAGCTTTTGAAAAATAGAATGGAGAAAACAGAATTCGTTGACTCCATGAGATAACAAGAAATATTAGAACAAAGTACAAAGACTAAAAGCAATAAGGAAGCATATAAGTATCAACTATCAAAAACAACTCACCTAAAAAACTGACCTAAAAAAAAAGTTGAGGAAAGATAATTTAGGCATTATTGGTCTCCCTAAAGATCATAACCAAATAAAAGACCTGGATACCATATTTCAAGCAATCATAAAAGGAAATTGCCTAGATCTATTAGAACCAGATGGTAAAGTGAAATAGAAAGAAATTACCGACCACTTCAAGAAGGAAAACCCAAATTGAAAAACAAGAATATCATAGCCAAAATCTAGAAGTTTCTGGTCAAACGTACTGGCAGGAAGCCAGAAAAAACAAAAAGTGATCAAGGAGCAAAGGACCACAGTCAAGATCGAAAAGACTATGCTGCAACTAGTTTAGAGGAAAGAAAATTTTGGAATATGATAAATGCTCTTACAACCAACTGTGTGCTGGTAAATGTTTAACAATTGGGTGTCTGAAAAAAATGCATATATGACACACTTTTTAACTTAAATTTGCATTCTCTCCATCAACTGCATAAATCTAAACAATCAAGAAAGCAATAAACCACACCCTAATTTGTACCATTTAATGATTTCTGAGGTATAAATGCTCACACTGAAAATTTAAGCACTCTCAAGAACCAATTCAGGCTCTTGTACAAGGATGTACAACTTGTGGAGTAAGGAGAACTTACTCTCAAAAACTGACTATAATCCTACAAGGAGAAAAAAAAATGTGTCTTCAATAGAATAGAAAACCTTCAAGCATTTCTGATGAAAAGACCAGTGAAGAGTAGCATCTTTGAAATGCAAACACAAGAGACAAGTTAACCTAGAGCACTAATAACTGGAAATAAAAGGAGTGCCCATCAATTGAGAAATGACTGAAAAAATTATAATATGCAAATGAAATTGAAAATTATGCCATAAAAATTAATGGATTCAGAGAAATCTAAGATTTCTATGAATTAATACAGAGTGAAGTGAGCAGAAACAGAACAGTTTGTATGATTATTACCGTAATATAAAGGAAAGCAACTTTGAAAGATTTAAGATCTCTGATCAATGCAATGACCAGTTATGACTCCAGAAAGACTAATGATTAAGCATTTTCAGAGAAGACCAAAGTATGAATTCTTGACTAAATTTGTTACATGGGAGGCTTTTATTGTTGGGGAAGGTGGGGAATTGTTGTGAGGTCAGAATGGAGGGTAGTGATAGTGATGCAGAAAAAAGACAAAGGAGCATCCATGAAACATTTACGATACACAAAAGAAAGTGGAAGGAAGTTCAGAAGGGGACATAAACACATAAACAAGTAGATCAGTTGAGGGTATCACCAGCTTGCCAGTCATCCAAGTTCAAAGTCTAGATGTTGTCTTCAACCCTCTACCTCTCTCTTACCATCTCCCCACCCCCATATCCAATCTATTGCCAAGGCTTGTCAATTTTGTCTTCGTAATATCTCTCATATATAACTCCTTCTTTCCTCTGACACTGCTACCACCCTGGTGAAATTCCTCATCACCTCACATCTGTACTTCTGCAATAGTCTGCTGGTAGAGCTCCCTGCCTCGAGTGTCTCTTCACTCCAGTCCATCCTCTACTCAGCTGTAAAAGTGATCTTCCTAAAGCTTAGGTCTGACCATGTCACCACCACCCACATTCATTAAACTCCAGTGGCTCCCAATCACTTCCAGGATCCAATATCAAGCCTCTGGAATTCAAATCCCTTCATAACTCCCCCCCCCTCACCTTCCCAGTCTTCTCATACCCTACCCCAAGCCTGCCCAACATATAGCCCACCAAAGGATTTCAGGTGGCCCAAGAAAAATGTAGAGGTTATAAAAGAAAGAAAAGATATAATGAGTGCTTTGTCCATGCCCCACTTACCCGCCTTTCACTAGTCACTATCGTGCCCATCACGTAACATAGTGGGTAGGTTGTCACTGCAGACATGCTCTTGTTTTTCACATGATATATACTGACTGGTACTATTGTGTTAAATTTAATATGCACCTTAAAAACAAACTATGAGGACAAAGCCATATAATTACTTTTTATGTTTCATTTACATGTGAAAATGTAAATGTTTCTTGATGTTTGTCAAATTTATAATTTTTTAAATTTTCCTTAAAAAGTTATCAATAAAATTTTTTAAATGAACATGAATGTATTTTGGATGGTTGCCTCTGCACCATAAAGACATTCTATAATATGGGGATCCTCAAAAGAATTTTCCTATCTTTTATAGGGACCATTTCAAGGATCCCAATCCCTTCACCCTTCCAGTTCTGTCTGACCCTATATTTGAAAACAAAAAAGAAAGGCACTGATGACTTACAATGATTCTAGGAAGGGAACAGGTAGAAGCCAGTAGTACTGTCCTCATTTGATACTTGGCTTGTCCTACTATGGTCTCCAAAAAAAAGAAAAAGACTTTCCAAAAACAAAAATGTTCTTCTCTGAGCTGTAAAGTTTCAGCCAAAAAAAAAAAAAAGTAGCTTTCCAAGAAAGCCAGTCTGTACTACATAATGTAGCAGCTACATTTCATTCTTGGATTCGTTCATCATTTCACACGTTTTTGTTTTGTCTCCCTAGCTCCTCTCCTTTAATAATCAGGAACTATGTCTTTGATTCCCAGCATGGTAGACGTGATTAAAAGAACACCAGATTTGAAATCAGAAGACCTGGATTCAATCCCTGCCTCCTCTACTTACTGGTTGTGCCACCTTGAACAAGTCAGGTATCTTGCTGAGTTTCAGTTTCCCCATTTTACAAATGGGGACAAGGAAGCATTCATCTCTTCCTCAGAACTAATGAACCAGTGTAAATTATGGGAGTGCTTGGTAGAGAAGAGCAACCTGAGTTCAAATCCCACTTATCTTGATTACTCCCTATGTGACAAGGCAGGTCACCTAACCTCTCCGGGCCTCAGTTCCCTTATCTGTAAAAGAAGGGGTTGGACCAGATGATCTCTGAGGTTCTTTTCAGCTCTAGTTCTACGATCCTAAGTAAGGTACTTTATAACATAAAGCCCAATATAAATATAAATTATTATCATTCCTCACACACCAAAGAGTAGAGTGTTTGTGCTTAGCCAATCAACCATGATTTTTAAAGTAAGGAATGTGAAAGAACAGAAATAAGGGATTTGTGTCAGGGGAAGAAAGGAATTGGAAGGGAAGAAGAAAGGTGGAGATTAAAAGTAATGACAAAAAGGAAAAATAATCAAGGAATGGCTCAAAAAGCCAATACTGTAGCCAAATCTAATAGAAGAATCCTGGATGACTTATTAACGTGCGGGAACAAATGAAAAAGAGGCATAATGAAATGGAAAGCCATCACCCTACATAAATCTAAGCTGGTAGGTATCAAGGATACCCAAAGCCTAAAGGAGTAACCCAGATTTCCCAAGTTCAGCTGCACCAAGTACTATCAAGATATAGAGTATCACAAATAGGAAACTTACTTTACCCTAAGCACAGCCCAGTGAGACAAGCCAATGATAGATATACGAGGAAGAAATAGAACTAGAATGAATTGAGCCTGCAGAAGAGAAGGCTAAGGGGTACCTCAATAAATCTTAAAACATAGTAAGGATTCCAAAACGGAAGACAACCAGCTTGTTCTCTATTTCTAGCGAGGACCAAACCAGAAAAAAGCTTTAAATAGTCATGAGGAATGTACAACAGACACAAGTGAGGCATCTCCTGATGATAAAGGTTGCTGAATACTAAGAAAGGAGACACTGATTTGGTTAGAGTTCTTTAAAAGAGATTTTTAAGACAGAATCTCATCTCCCTAGGATGCTTTGTATGTCATTCTGTCTTAAGGAAGAAGGATAAACAAGATGGCCTCTCAAAAGTTTCTTTTGGTTTTCCAAGGATCTTAATATCTCTTCTTAAATTATGTGACTCACCCAAAGAAAGTACAGGGATAATCAATAGGAACATAGGATGTTGGCCACGCCAAAGCTGGAAAAGAAAATTCTCCAAGAGAAAACACTAACCAGGGTTTTCAGAGGCTGTGAGTCAATATCCAAAACAGGGAGGGAAAGAGTCAACATGCTGCTATCCCTGTGGTTCTTCACATTGCAGTCCAGACAAACCAGGGACTCACGTATTGTGATAGTATACAAGTTCTTCAGCCTCTCTGACTGGAAAAAGAAAGAGACATCTTAGCAGAGGCTCAAGTGAAAACTAGAACTGCTTATCTTCTCTATTTCTACCCTTTACTTCTTCTTCTCAAACATTGCCCTTAATTTTTACCTTCCTCTTCCTCCTCCCTTATCCTCAATGAAAATGATGAACAAGACACTTATCTTTAAACCATCTCCTTCCTCCTTTTCTTCTCTTACCTTCTACAGGAAGCCTTTCCCATTCCTCCTTAATTCTACTGCCTTTCCTCTGTTGCTTATCTCTAATTTATCCTGCATGTACCTTGCTTGTACATAGTTGTTTGCACGTTATCCATTAGGTTTCGAGCTCCTCTAGAGCAAGGACTGTCTTTTGCCTTTCTTCATGTCCCCAGTGCTTAGCATGGTGCCTAAGATATAGTAAGTGTTTAATAAATATTTATCTGCTGACTCCTAGCATAAGTAGCATTTCAATTTTTTTTTCATTCTAAGGCCTTACCAGCTCTGAGTCTGTAATTTGGCTCTGGATCAAGTTCCAGAGGGTCAGGAAGAGTTGGGCAGCATCATGATCAACAAACACTGCCAAAGGAGACAAAAAGGCATTATCAGTGGTCTGACAGCTGTCTCTTGTCCTTCTCTCACTTCTCACTCCTGCTGGTCTCCATTTGGGAAGCTGTTTGTACAGGACATCATTCTGACATCTGCTTTCATGAAAATGGCAACTCATTGCCCTAAATGTGGCATTCCATCTCCATTCCCAATCATGGAATCTCAGAATTGGAAATGACCTCTATAATCCAAACCATATAGGAACCGCTCCATACAGTATCCCTGGAAGATAATCATGCAGCCTCAGCTTGAAAACCTCATGTGAGGGTGAACCCACTAACCTCCCAAAGGCAGCCTATCCTTCTTCAGGATAGCTAAAGGGGAAGTCTTCTCTACATCTTGTCATTTTTTTTATAGACTAAATATTTTCAGTTCCTTTAACTAATCCTTATCCAGCATGTTCACATACTGGTAACTCAGCTCTAAATATGCTCCATTTTGTCAATGTCCTTCCTAAAATCTGGTACCCAGAGCAGGACACAATACCTCAGTTTATTGGAAAAATCAGAGTTGTTCTATCCCTTATTCTCTTAGTTGCCCTCCTATGGAAGCTCTCTAGTTTATCAATCTCATTCCTAAAATGAAACCCAGAATTGAACACTGTACTTCAGCTATAATCTAACTAAGGCCAAGAATCATAAAATCACAAAATTTGAGACTTGCAAGGGACCACAGCTACACTCTAGTACAAATCATACCCCAAAGGAATCTCTGCTCTAACATCAAAAAATGAGAATAAAAATAAAAATAACAATGGCTATCATTTATATAGCACTTAAAGGTTTGTAAAACACTACACATATTATTTCATTTGAGCCTCACAACAACTCTGTGAGATAGGTGCTATTATTACCCCAATTTTACAGATGAAGAAACTCAGAAGGAATGAGGTTACATGACTTGGCCAGGGTCACACAGATAGGAAGTCTCTAAGGCAGAATTCAAAGTTGGGTCTTCCTGACTCAAGTCCAGTCACACTACCCAGCAGCCTGCACCAACAAGCGGTCATCGAACCTCAGATTGAACGCCTCCAAGGAAGCGTTCCCATGTCCTCTCAAAGCAGCCCATTCCCCTTTGGCCAACTCTAATTCTTAGGAAGTTTTTCCTGACATCAAGCCTAAATCTGGTTCTTTTCAACATCAACTTTCTACTCCTGGCTCTGCCCTTGGCAACCAGAGATAACAAGTCTGATTCTTCCTTCGAACACTTTCTTTCAAACACTTAAAAACATCTATCATAACCCCATATGTCTTCTCTCCTCTGAGATAAACATGCCCATTTCCTTCAGCCAAAATTCATATGATATAAACTCCTGAACCTTCTGGTTGTCCTCCTCTGAACACTCTCCACCTTATCAATGTTCTTCTTAAACTGTGTGGCTCCCAGAACTGAGTACAAAATTGTCAGCTCTTATCTGACAAGGGCAGAGCTCAGTGAGACTATCCTATCTATCCCTGGAAGCTCTGCATCTCTTAATTCAGACCATGGTGGCATTAACAGTTTTTTTTGACTGCTGCATGAGTTTGTAGTCTACCAAAACCCTTAGATCTCCTTCAGCTCAATTGTTGTCTGACCCTGCCTCCCTTTTATACACAGGGGTGATTTTTTGGAACCCAAATGTAATACTTTACGCTTTTCCCTCTTGAATCTCATCTTATTATGTTATTATTATTATTATTATACTATTAGATTATTATTATTGTTCAGTCCAGTGCTCTAATTTGTCAAGATTGCATCCAGATGGTCTTACAGTATATTAATTGTCCCTCCCAGCTTTGTGTTCATCTGTTGATTTGATAAGGATGTCATCTTTGTATTGATTCAAGTCAGTGATAAAAATGTTAAATAGGCCAGGGACAAGCCCCAAACCCCAGAGTACTCCACCAGAGACCTGCTGCTATACTAACATCAAACCAATAATTAATATAATTCATTATATCTAGCCAGCCAACCAGTTCCAAACCCATCTAAATACGTTACATCAACTGGCACATAATAAGCACCATATAAATGTTAGTTATTTTTATTATTATTTCTATCTTTTCCACAAAAACCAGTGTGAAGTATTTTATCAAAATACTTTACTAAAATCCAGGTAATCTGTATCCATAGCATTCTCCTCACCTACTAGTTTAATAATTCTGACAAAAAAGAAAATGGGGTTAGCCTGACGTGATACGTTCTTAATAAAGTCATGCTAGTTCTTTGTAATCAGATTTCATAATGACCCATTCTAGTGTTTTCCCAGGAAATGAAGTTCACTGGCCCATAGTTTAGAGACTTCAAAACATTTGAAAAAGAACATTTGTTCTTCTAAAATCTCATAGTTTTTCTCCCCTTACCATTGACCTTTCAATTATTGCTGCCAATGGTTCAGCAATCACAACATCAATTCTTTCAAGAGCTAGAATATAGTTCATCTAGGCAAGGTGACTTGAATCCCTCAAGCATAGATAAGTGTTCTTTTGCTATCACCTTACTTATTTGGAATGTCCGTTGCCTGTTAATATTACTTCTATTCTGTGGCATAGAAGATGGAAAGCTGACCCTGAAACCAAGAAGATCTGGGGTCGTATCCCACCTCTGACAAATATTGGCTGTGTGGTTCTGGGAAAGTCACTTAGTGCTTTAGAACACTCTCCAAGATTGCTGTAAGTTGCACAGAAGATGCCAAGCTATATCGGTAGATGAAGTCTCCTCAGTTGGGAGCTCCCTGTACTAATGAAATCACAGGTGCCTATCCTCTATCCATTTCCAATGAAAAGGTGGTTCTCCTTGGCAAAGATAGTTTAAGAATTAGTGTCTCTCAACATAGCAGAGCCAAAGACCCTCAAATTCCTGGATGCAGCAATTTTGATTACCCAAATCACCTTGAATGGGTCTTATACTCACCCTTACACACATGCACACAAACACCCATCCTCACCCTTTCTGCCCAACCATAAACAATAGCTAAATGACTTTCTTACATGGAACATTATAGTTTTGCAGACAGGATGCCAGCTCCACAGGCCGTAGTGCCCTCACCCGGCTGTCTTGCATCTTCTCCAAGAGCAGAAGTAGCTGGTAGGGGACACTTCTCTTCCGCTCCTCCTGTTCCCTAGGCATTGTGATACTGAAAAAGCAGAGAGGTCACATATTGTGAGGGTTCCTGGAACAGATCAGCTCCAAATAATACCCTTTCAACAAGAAGACAGATACAATCATTTCCTCACCACCATCACCACCCCTTACCCTTCCTTACTATTACACTAAAAGCCAACCCAAGAATGAGAGTGGACCATAATGTCATTCTGGGAGCCTAGAGTCATTGTCAAACTTTCTGCTAGATACAGGGAAGCCAAACTGTAGGTTCTCTACAAGAGTTAGAGTATCACACCTCAGCACCTAGAAACTAACAAAAAACAGTACAAAACAGAAATAAATACCCTCACACCCATTTCCCAGAACCTGGGTAAAAAAACAAAGCAGAAGAAGGAAGTGGTTCAGTTCATGGTTTCACTAATCCAGTTCACGGCTCCCACACAATGGGTAAACCATGATCTTTACCCTCTGGACAAAGCAGGAAAAAGTTTTCAGGAAACAGACTCTCCAGTCTGGCCAGTTTCAAACAAGCAACCTTTCCAGCTATGCAGTCAACCAAAGGTGGCTACCACCACTCATGTGGTAGGGAACCGAGGAATCCTCCATGCTAAGAGATCTAGGCATGCCTAAGCCAGCCCAAGGCAGCTACATAGTACCAGGCCTGGCATCAAGAAGACTCATCTTCCTGAGTTCAAATCTTGCCTCAGATATTGACTAGCTATGTGACCCTGGGCAAGTCACTTAACTCCATTTGCCTCAGTTTCCCCATTTGTAAGATGACCTGGTTTGGAAATGGCAAACCACCCCAGAATCTTTGCCAAACGGGGTCACAGCGAGTCAGACATGATTGAACAACAAAGGCAAGGCCCAGTACATTGATAAAATGAAAAGTAATTCATTAACAGAGAGGCAATCAAGAAAAAGCTCTTGTAGGAAACTTTCCTTCCCCTCCTCCAGTTCCCTTGACACCATGATCCTGAATAAATAGAGGAGTCACATATGGTGAGGGTTCCTGGAAGAGATCCACTCCAACAAACTCAACAAGGAGGCAGACAAAACCTATTGTTAGTGGTTAGATGGAACAGAGACTCAGGAGAGCACAACTAAAATTGAGGGAAAACCATCAGAGGGCATTGGAGCCATAGGCAGAGAGCCTATATACCTCAAAGCCCCTCAAGGGTATCGGAGAACCCCAGGGTAGAGGTGAAACATGACACACTGAGCATTTAGGCAGTGGGGGAGAAAGTAGCCTGTGTTACATTGATATTTTATTTATTGCAATTTATTGTGTATTTTCTTAACAATCTTCATGTTGTTTATCCCAGTAGAATATAAGGGACAGGGCTGTTTCACTTTTGTGTATGTATTTCTAGTACCTAGCAGGGGAGGGAAGATTATGGAAAGAAGAAAGGGAAAGGGAAGCAAATAAGCATTTATGTAATACCTACGATGTGGCAAGCACTATACTAAATGTTTTTACAATTATCTCATTTGATCCTCACAACAACCCTGGGAGGTAGGTGCTATTATTATCCCCATTTTACAGATGAGGAAATTAAGGTAAATAGAAGTTTGGTGATTTGCCCAGGGTCATGCAGCTAGTAAGTGCTTGAGGCCAGATTTAGACTCAGATCTTCCCGACTCTAGGCCCAATGCTCTATAGACATTTAATGGATGTTTGTTGAATTGAAGTAAATTTAACTGAGTAGTCCAAACTTACAAATAGGGACAAGATCAAGCACTTGGAAGAAAGAAGCAGAACAAGGAGATTACTTGGGTGTTCTCGAAATTGGATCTGGAGTCAGTGGCCCTGACTTAAAATCCTGGTTCTGTTATTCACTACCTATATAACTTCGGGCTAGACAATCTCTAACATCCTTTCTAGTTTTAAATCTACTATCCTGGGCAGCTAGGTGGCCTTGGAGTCAGGAGGACCTGAGTTCAAATCCAAGACATTTGACACTTACTAGCTGTGTGACCCTGGGCAAGTCACTTAACCCTGATTGCCTCACTAAAAAAATAAATAAATAAATTTACTATCCTAAGAGATGTTGACAATACAGAAAATAGACACTGAATCACTCTATGGCTGTGTCTCTGGTTGAACGGACCCTCTTCAAGCAGCTAAAGACCTAGCCGGGCAATGACGGAAGAGGTCAATCAAGTATAAACTCTTGGAAGACAAACACTGTTTTATTGATACGTGTTTGTATTCCTGGAGCAGAGCACAGTCTTTAGACGTGATGCTTAATAAACGGTTATCTAATTCAGGAGGCCCCCAGCTCACCATGAACGATTGAAATTTTCCTGTAAACATAAAAGAAAATACAAATTTATAATTTACCATTCTCAGCCAAAAGCTAATGAACTACCCAGAAAAAGGACTCACTTCTTCAAGATTTTGGTGAAATTCAAGTTCATGATGAACACCTGGAGCAAAGAGTTGAGACAACAAGTCTGTCCGATGTTGTACAAACCAACAGGGCCTGAAACAGGGCAGAGACCAGAAAGAATAAAAATCAGCAAGATCAGAGCATGAAGGGATTCGTTCAAATCCGCAAGTATTTATTGAGCATTAACTTCACACATAAGGGGACAACTGAGGTAGAAGAAATAATTTTGGCTTTGGGGACTTTGCATTCAAGTGTGAAATAAAAACCATAAATACATGAAAAGTTAAGTAACAATGAGAGGAGAGATATCACAAGGAACATGTGATTAACAGTTTAATGAAGTACAAAAAATAGTTGTTAGGAGAACAAGGGGGAAAGAAAAAGGATGTTTATAGGGAAATTGAGGCTGGACATTCTGATCTGCAATCAGCTGCTCTGCCTGGTTTCAGCTCCATTAAAGATGCCTCCAAGGTTAAGCTCATCACCTCTAATCTCATCACCATTGCTGCTCACTCCCTCAGCCTCCTCTTCCCTCTGGATGGAGGGCTGGCTGTTGGAATTCAGAACTCCTCCCAACGTCTTCCTTTGTAAAGGGCAGAAACTGGACTTTGGGACTCACTTCATTCTGCATGTGCTGCTCTTCCTGGTTTCAGCTCCATAGGACAAGATGCTCCCATGCTGATTACCCTCTAATATTTCCCCACCCATCCTGCTTTCCTGCCTCTTTTTGTGTCCTGTCTCCCGCATTTGATTGGAAGCTCCTTGAGGTCAGGGACTTTCTTTTTTATTAATTGTATCCCCGGCATTTAGCTCAGTGACTGGCATATACTAAGCAATTAATAAGTGCTTACTAGATTGGATTTATTGGACTTGGGCTGGATCTCCCTACCTCTTTTGTAGTTCTTACCTCAAGAATAGAACAAAACAGGCCAAACTTTGGGTAAAACAAATGGGATCACAACCTGCCTTAAATGTAGTATCAATTTCCTCTGAAAATGTCCATTTCTTATAACACAATAATGTTCCTTTATATGCCACAATTTGTTGAGAGTTTGGATTTTTTCCTCTGAAAAATTATCTGTTTATATCCTTTTATCTATTGGGGATGGCTTTTGGTCTTATAAATTTGAATCAGTTCCTTATGTATCTTGGAAAGGAGACCTTTAGCAGAGAAATTGTTACAAAGATTTTTCCCATTTATCTATCCCTTCTGACTTTTACTACATTAGATTTGTTTTTGTAAAAAACTTTTAAATTCTATATAATCAAAATTTGCCATTTTATCTTGTGATTCTCTTTATTTAATCTTGAATTCTTCCACCATCCATAGAACCAAAAGGTAATTTCTTCCTTGCTCCTTTAATTTGTTTATGACATGGCTTTTTATATATGTTGTGTATCATTTGGAGCTTATCGTGGTATATGGTGTGGGGTATTGGCCTAATTTCCACTACACTACCGTACAGTCTTCTCAGCAGTTTTTGTCAAATGATGAGTCCTTTACCTAGTAACAGCGGTCTTTGATTTTATCAAACACTATGCTAGTGAGTTTGGTTGCTTCTATGTGTTGATTACCTGATCTAGTCCACTGATGGACTGCTCTTTTTTTTAAACTAGTACCAAATCTTTTTTTCAATTATATAAAACATTTCCATTTTAGTCTTGTATAAGACTCAAATAAAAGAAAAAAAATGAAAGAAAATGAAAAATAGCATGCTTCAGTCTGTATTCAAATAATATCAGTTCTATCTCTGAAGATGGATAGTATGCTTCATCCTTAGTCCTTGGGGATTGTCATGGATCATTATATTGCTGAGAATAGCTAAGACATTCACAGTTCTTCATTGCACAATATTGTTGTTACTGTGTACAATGTTCTCCTTGTTCTGTTCACTTTACCATGCATCAGTTCATGTAAGTCTTTCCAGGTTTTTCTGAAATCATCTTGCTTGTCATTTCTTATAGCACAATAATATTGCATTACAATCATATACCAGAGCTTGTTTAGCTATTCTCCAACTGACAGACATCCGTTCAATCTCCAATTCTTAGCTACCACAAAAAGAGCTACTATAAATATTTTTGTACATGTAGGTTCTTCTCCCTTTTTTTGGACGTCTTTGGAATATAAACCTAGCAGTGGTATTGCTGGATCAAAGGATATGCACAGTTTTATAGCACTTTGGGCATAGTTCCAAATTGCTCTCCAGAGTGGTGGGATCAGTTCACAACTCTACCAACAGTGCATTAGTAAACCAGTTTTCCCACATCCCCTCCAACATCCAGCATTTTCTTTTTTTGTCATATTAGTCAATCTGATAGGTGTGAGGTGATACCCCAGGCTCGTTTTAATTTGAATTTCTCTCATCAATAGTGATTTAGAGCATTTTTCCATATGACCATAGATAGCTTTGACTTCTTTGTCTGAAAACTACTTGTTCATACCCTTTGACCATTTATCAATTGGGGAATGACTTGCATTTTTATAAATTTGCCTCAGTTCTCTATATATGTGATAAATGAAGCCTTTATCAGAGATACTTGTTGCAAAAAATTTTTTCTCAGTTTTCTGCTTTCCTTATAATTTTGGTTGCATTGGTTTTGTTTGTGCAAAAGATTTTTAATTTTATATAATCAAAATTACCTATTTTACATTTTGCAATGCTCTCTATATCTTCTTTGGTCCTAAATTCTTCCCTTATCCACAAATCTGATAGATAAACTATCTCTTAATTTGTTTATGGTATTACCCTTTAAGTGTAAATAATGTACCCATTTTGATCTTATCTTGGTATACAGTGTGATATGCTGGTCCATACCTAGTATCTGCCATACTGTTTTCCAGGAGTTTTGTGAAATAATGAGTCCTTCTTCCAGTAACAAGGGTCTTTGGTTTTATCAAACTCTAAGCTAGTGCGTTTGATTGCTTCTGTATATTGATTAGCTGATCCAGTCCACTGATGAACTTCTCTCTCTGTCTTTTTAAACTAGTACCAAATCATTTTAGTGATTATATTTTGTACCACAGAGATCTGGTATTTAAAATAAAAATCTAGTTAGGGAAGCATTATACAAAACATGTCTTATTCTCCTTTAAAGGCAAGACCTATACTTTATAGATTTTTATATTCCCACTGATGTTCTGCACATAGCAAGCATTTGGGAAGAAAGACTATCCCAAAAACCTAAGCCCTGATTAATTTAACACATCACTTTCCTCTAGGATAAAAGAGAAGTGGCCATATGAAAGAGAGGGAGGTGGTTGCTGAAAGAGAGGAGAAGGGGACAGAAAGATGGGAGAGCTCCAATGACAAGCTCTATTTCTCAGTTTTATTCTCCATTGGAGCTATGTGGGGACAACAGAAAAAGAATATTTTTACCTTGCTAGACTCTTCAATCCAGTCTTCTGATAGAATTACTTATATCACAGAGATAAAAGATATTAGAATAACAACAACAATAATTAACTAGGATTTATACAGCACCTACTTCATGCCAGGCACTATACTAAACTCTTTACTAATCTTACGGCAGCTTCCTGGAGATTCTGCCTATCCTAAACTCATTGTAAACCGGAGGGGACTTGATTTTCTAAAATCTTAGAAACACAGGAGCTCTCTGACTCACTCTCTCATAAATTGTAGAGGGGGGCAATACCTTGAGCCAGAAAGAGCAATGGTTGAGGATTCTGGGCGCCATCTTGAATCTGCCACTAACAAACTGTATAACTGGGAAAGTCATTACTAAACCTCTTCCAGCCCTGGTTTCCTCATTTATAAAATAAAAAGGTTGTAACTAATCCTCTCCAAGGACCCTTCCAGCTCTAATGATCTTTGATTCTAAACTCTTTCCCTTTTTACATGACCTTGAGATCAGCACATTGTATATACCTTGATGATTATTGAAGAAATCACCATTCATTCACTTCAGCATTCATAAATCAAGGGCTTCACATGGGATCAACAGGAAAGAGAAGACTAATAAAGTGAAAAATATTAAGGGAATGAGAGATGCCAAATTATTGATCACCAGTTGTTAAAGTCATGAGAGCTTTATTGAAAGCCCATACTTAGTATATTGCAACAACTTTTGTGTTCTTATGTGACTGAAGAGGGAGAAAAATGAAGAGGAATAATAACCTTTATGGCTGTCTCCAGCACCGCAGAGGTATCTCAGCTGCTCTGTCTTCCTCTTCATGGTAGTTCTTTATCCCAAGAGGATTTGGCTCCAAGTTCAGAGATTCCACTGGTTCTGCTTCTCACGTTCTATTCAAAAGGTAAGATACCTTGCCCATTAATCACCATTAGTGGTAGCTCCCAAAGCACCATACTACAAGCCTGTCCTTAATACACAGATAGGCACTAACTAGTGAGTATAGTTCATAGGAGCCCCCAGTGCCATTATCTCTGTAAGACATAAACCAGGCGTAAGTGGTGGGGTAGGAATGAGGAGGCAAGGCCTAATAAAATGATCTTTCTGTCATGATCAGCTAATGATGGAACCAATTTTTAAAAATTAAGTTCTGAATCCTGATAAACCTTAACCAGATCCTAGAGAGCTCATAAAAAATATAGGGCTGAATGACTAATACAATTAATATAAATATAAAGGTAGATCAGGGCAACTTCTAATCAAATTAAGAAGTTTTTCTAAACAACCCCATAACCTGCTATAAAAGAGTTACCCAAACAGGATATAAACATTCAGCTAGGTTGTATAAAGGATAGACTTATGGACCTAGAGTCAGGAAAACCTGAGTTAAAATCCAGTTTCAGACACTTACTATCTGTGTGACTCTGGGCAAGTCACTTAACTTCCGTCTGCCTCAATGTCCTCATCTGAAGAATGGAGATAATAATAGTGCCTACCTCGTAGGGTTATTGTGAGGATAAAATGAGATATATGTAAAGGGCTTTTCAACCCTTAAAGTGCTGTATAAATGCTAGGTATTATTACTATTTCTAATATCATTACAAGGTATTGGCTATTAAATGAAAGTGAGTAATTGAGAATCATCTACACCTCATGGTGGCCTTTAAAAGACAAGTTGGCCCCATTCTACGTGAGTTCTAAGGAAAGAGTCAAGAAGAAAACCATCTATAAAGGAAGAAGGCAGTTCTTAAGTATCTGCTTGCTCCTTCAGCAAAGTGTGAGCTTATGAGCTAAGGGGAAGAGCTTTCCATTTCACCTCCTCCACCACCAACAGCTGTCTTACAACAGAAGTACATCACTATAAGAGACATTTAACTCCATGTTGCCTGACAAGGGAAATTCAAGGATATTGCTTCTTTTTTGTTTTTGTTTTTTGGCTAGGCAATGGGGTTATGTGATGTGTCTGAGGCCAGATTTGAACTCATGTCTTCCTGAATCCAGGGCCGGTGCTCTATCCATTGCACCCCCTAGCTGCCCCCCCAGGATATTGCTTCTTGAAGTAACCCAACAGGAACTGAGTTGTAGAATTGAATAGAAATGAGTCAGGGAGAGTAGAATCTATGTGCTGGACTGGGTAACTAAAGGAGCTAAGTTCAACTCTGTTCCTTTTTTGGAGGAAAGAAAACTATACAAATACTTTTATTTCTGTAAACTCAACTGAAAAGTGGTGACTTTGCTTGATTTTTTTTTTTTTTTTTTGGCTTCTTGGGACAGAAATGCTTTACCTAGTTTTTGCCTGAAAGCATTGAGAGCCAACATGTTTCAAAAACACCTCTTTGGCTTTATTTATTCTGCCCAAGTTGGAATTTTCACAATTTCCTTCTCCCTCTTTCCTATTCAAAACTGATTAACTGTGAAAAGGATTATCAAAATTATTCTTCTTTTTTTTGGCAATTGGGGTTAAGTGACTTGCCCAAGGTCACACAGCTAGTAAGTGTCAAGTGTTTGGTCTGAGGCCGGATTTGAACTCAGGCCCTCCTGACCTCAGGGCCAGTGCTCTATCCACTGCGACACCTAGCTGCCCCCAAAATTATTCTTACAAAGCCAGTGTCACCTCCTAATATAGAAAAGCTTAAGAAAAAGTAGGTCAGGCTTTACTTGCTGTTGAAACACAGCTTCTAGTCACCATGCAACAATGCCACCTAGTGGAAGAAAACAAGCAGAAACTTCACTCTATAATAAGCATTTCCATAACTCTTCAAGGTTTACAAAACATTTTCTTCACAACGGCTCTGTGAAATATAAAGTGCTAGTATGATTAACCTCATTTTACAGATGAAAAAAAAACATGGGCTCAAATAGACAAACTGACTTGCTCCAAGTTACGCAGATAGCCCAGCTATCTAGGCCTAGAACACTCAATTGACAAATATCTATTCTGTGCTAGGGACAATGGGGGAGGAGAAATAGAAAGACAGAAATCTTGTAGGGTGGGTAGGTTATGGCACATTGCAAACAAAGAAGCACAAAGAAGATTTGGAGTAAAGAACGTCATCAGAGATTAGAATGGCCTGGGCGGGGGTGGGGGGGACCTAGGCTGGTTGTTTGGAGAGATCAAGGGATTACCAATTAATAGATAACCCATGTTTATCTTCTCATGATATCAAGAAAAAGTAATGGCAATTATTTCACTTAAAAGAGATGAGAAAAAGCTTTTACAGTAGAGGGGAAGATGATGAAGTGGAGAGTGGACGACACGAACCTTACTCTCAGCAGAATTGGTTCAAAGAGGAAATAACATACAACTCATTTGGGTACAGAAATATATCTTACCCTAGGGGGAAGCAGGAGGGGAAGGGGATGAGAGAAGGGGCATAGGGTAGCTGATAGAAA